ATAAACATATCTAGGGAATTGCATGTTGAAATTCGATTTATTGGTGTTTAAAATACATGTAAAAGGAAATGCACCAATTGCGCAACAAGAATTATACATGTTAATTAACAACAGCACTCGCAAATTCTACGGTAAATACAACCATTCGTTGGGTTGGGTGGTATTTTGTCTAACATTTTTCATACCATTCGTTAAATCATTGCTTTTATTTTAAATTTGACTGCGGAGTATTCAATCTACCTGATCAATACATAGGGCTCACGGTGGGTGTGACCGTTTGAAAGGGGATGATTACTCTTCCTAGGCAACTGATCCCACTTCTGGTGTTTCCAGGGGCCGTGTTTTTGCCCTGTTCACGGTTCGTTTTATCTATTGTATTTATGAAATTGATCACTGTTCGTTATCTTCACCTTTTACATTACAGAATATTTACATAGTAAGAAGTGTATCTACTTTCAGACCACCGAAAACAATGATATTATGGAGGAAACCATCCTTTTTGTTCGTTATTGTTTGTATGGCAATAACTCATGCTGAAGATGATCGGAACCTTGAAAGATCACCCGGTTTTAATTTTAATATTACTCATGTACTTTATCATAGCATCCTTTTATGTGGAGGAGCAATAATTTGCAACAAATCTCTTTTAACACTTTTCGACATACCAAACAAAACAGAACCGAATTCATCAAGATGTCGAACTTGTTCATGTAAAGAAAGATGTTTATCTCCTTTTTCCGAGGAAAAATGTTGTCCTGATGTTTTCTTTAGGCATGGGCTTCGAGAATGTAGAAATATAAAGGTTTTGTTCACTAGGGCAAATTTAAAAGAAGTAGTTGCCTCATGTCCTATAGGGACTAATTTTACTCTATCAAAAGAATGTACTAAGGAACGATCTAAAGTGGATATTCTCCTTCATCCACCAGTGACTAGTGGCACCACGAACATTTCATATATCAATAAGTACTGTGCATTTTGTAATAATGCGACTTTATTGGAAGAATGGAATGTGAACTTCGAATGCGGAAAGAACACAGACTTCAACTTTCTTTCATCATATCAAGATATTATAGATTTTGCAATAACGCAGTCATGTAATTTAATCCATATTTCCCCGAACTCAGCTCAATATTGTTCAAAGTATTATTATCAAACAATAGCATCTTGCAATGTCACCGGATCGTGGTTATTTTATGACAAGCAAATAGAGCAAGCGTGCCTGAGCTCTTATAATGCCTCTATGGGTATCTTTAAAAATCTTTTCTGTGCCATGTGCAATCCACCCTCATTGGAAACGCATTTAGCAATAAAACAATGTGAAAATTCAAGCAGCATCTACAAAACAGCATGCTCCTTTCAACCTACAATAGAAGCTTCGTTTCCATACAAGAATTACTTTTGCTTTCTTTGTAACCATGGTGATAACAATGCAGAGTATTATACTGATGTTGATTTTCTATCAGCCGATGAGATATACGATGAAAACAAAGAATATCCCTTTCAATATAAGATATCATTTGATTTTAGTGATACTCATTTAAAGCAATACGTCAATGAAGTCTTCAGAAACTCCAATCAAGGGAATGCGCCACCTTTAAAACAAAATCTCTATATAAAGGAAAACCTGTTAAAGTGCCCAACATCTGTTAATGAGTTTCCTCCTATAGGAGCATTTCCTCCAGGAGTCCACTTTGGGCAACAATTGCCACCTTCTACACCTTCATTTTCATTCAAGAGCCCATCGTTTTCAATGATCAGATTTCCTGCAATCAACATTACAAATGTTCTTCAAACAGGCTTTGCATTCTCACGACATGGTGCCTGTAGACCAGGATCATTGCTGAACTATACAATTCCACTACAAAAACCTTGTTCATGTAATGTAGGCTGCAGAGAAGACTGTTGTGACGATTTTGCATTTACGCAGCCTTGGATTTGTATTGATGATCGATTCAATAGGAACGAAGATGATCAAGGTAAAGATTACTTGGCGATTGGTGGATGTATTGAGGATCAACGTTTGGAACATTTTTGCACTGATGGTAATACATCACAATTTTATCAAGCGTTTCCGGTGACAACAAGATATGGAGAAACCTATGTAAATCTGTTTTGTTACTTGTGCAACAAGAAAACTCCAGACAAAATAAACATTGCTGAAAACGTGACACAAGAATTGAAAGTTTGGCCTTTGAAAGTCACTTGCGATAAATATATTAACTATAGAAACTTTCAATCATTACAAACACTCATTAACTATTTTAACAGGAGTTTGTGCGTGTTGTCATTTTTACCTCACGCTGGAGTTTCTAAATGCAGTAAGAACTGTTTTAAAGGACAATTCAGCAGTATCCAAAGTTGCAATATCTCTGGAAGTTGGACAACATTTAACGAAGACATCAAGAATGCTTGTGAATTGACTGAAACATTTAGATTTCCCATGATTAAAGTTGGTAATAATTATTATAAAAATAAATTTTGTAGCGTTTGCAACCCCTTTCATCAATTACCTTTTGATGGTCCCTGCAATGATTTTCTAGAAAATTCCAGTGTTGCTAGAGCTTGTCGAGAGTTTCCTGATATCAAAGTTTGCTTTCCGTATAAGAATATTTTCTGCGAAATGTGCAATAATAATGGAAGTGTCTCGGAGTGCTACAGAGAAATCGTTTTCCCACCGGTTATTCCTGGCTGCTGCCCTAGACCAATCATTCCGTCTTCTCTTCCTCTGAAAATTAACAGTTTCAGGTCCACATTTACTCTAGCAGCTTCCGATCCCCAAATTCCTATGACAAAACAAGAATATATATCATGTCAACATAACCAGATCTTTGATGATTTTCAGGTAAAATTTTCTTCCAACTTATTAATAGATGATGGGATAATTGAAATTTATTATGTGATTCCGTAATTACACAACATTAGGAAAATGTTCGTATTAAATTTTGTAGAGGAATTTACGGAAGCCGGTTGGTGCCAGGTAGAAAAAATATTTTATCTGGCGGCCGCCAAATAATTTTCTGGCGGCCGCCAGATAATTATTTGGCGGCTGCTAGATAAAATATTTTTCTACCTGGCACCTACCGGCTTCCGTAGGAATTGGTATTATTATGAAACCGTTTATTTTTCGTTATATTTTGTTACGGTATGTCCCTACTCGGCATATTTTTTTTAAAAGTATTTTTTCTTTTAGAATGATATTTTATGTAATTAAAAAGCCCAAAAATTACACGTCTTGACAGGTTACTTTTCTGACCAGTTACTTTTCTGACCAGAAACTTTAGAAAACGTATACCCCCTTCTTTCATCACACGAAAAAAAAAACATTATTGGCTAATCTAAACATAAAATTAAAGCAAAATAACTTTCAATATCCATTAATTTATCTGCTATATCATGTATATCTATATCTATTTATCTATCTATCTATCTATCTACACACACACACACACCCTCACACACACACACACACACACACACACACACACACATATATATATATATATATATATATATATATATATATATATATATATATATATATATATATATATATATATATATATATATATATAGATCATGTTACAAATGATTAATTTAGTACATTTAACAATTATGTACATATTTTCAGAATCTCATGGTTGAACACCTTCTTTTTCTGTTTAAAGTACATGTATTAGATTTATATCTTTTACATTTAAAAAAGCCAAAATTATGTTGTACTTCACAGGCTTTTTTTCTTTCTAAAACTTGTAGGACAAGTAAACGCCATATAAAGCAATCAATATAAACTCGAAAAATTTTATATGAAACATATTTCTTCAGAAGATAGCTAAATGACTTCATCCGTTTGTTTTGATACACAGTAGGGGTCTCTATTTTTAGAAAAAAGTACATTTTACTATACTTATGAAATTATCACTTATTGTAAATACTGTATGAACATGCAGTAGATGAGTTATCCATGTGTATGTATATGCGAACATCAATTACAACATTCTTTAAAGTTGAAGATCAAAACTTCATTACTGCTAATGCAATATCATTATAAAAGGTTTACAATAACTATTATCGATAATTACATGTTTTCAATTAATAAAAAAGTACATGTATCACTATTGATGACGCCACTCGGGTAGGGACATTCCCTTGGATAACTAGATTGAATTTCAGTTTATCCTGTGTGACATAAACATTGATTCAATAAATATACAATTAGAATAACATTGATTTCTTGGGCACTTGGTTGGTAGGAAATAATCAAACAGTTACTAATTTCTTTTTAATGAAATGAAAAAATAAATAAATAAAAAGTTTTTAAAAAATAAGAATTAAACGGAAACAATTTCTAAAATTTAATATGTTTCGGAAAACATCAATATACGTATCAACTAACGATGGAAACATTTGGCCATTGCACCATCTGTAACGGTCTTTGTTACAATTAGACTACTTTTAGTCTCGTTGATCAAAAAAGGTTTAATTTACCTGCAGAAAATGTCATAGTAGTACATTTTTACAGTTCGTGTTGTTTTCATGAACTTAGAATCTTTACTACAATAGCAATAGTATATTTTTACTAATCTTTCAAAACTCTTTTGTTTCAGCATACATGCAGGAATCTGACATGCTTTTCTGGCAAGATGTTAATAAAGGATACCTGTATCTCGTTACTTGCAGTTACATCTCATTTGCGATATACTCTAGCTTTAAAGCTAGATTTTTTTACATTTGACAGAATAAATGCGACATTTAAAGAATTGATGGAATATATGAGAGATCAAATTACAAACAAAATAAATAATCTACTCGACACTAATGTCTTCATTGAAGATATCATACTAATGAGCTTAACTAGCTGTACAAGTGTAATTGCTGATCGTAGTGAAGTGTTTGTGTACTTAAGAGTTTTCCTCCCTAGTAAAGTTTATCGAGATGGGATGGAGAAGACATTGATTTATTTAACCGAATCTTCTACGAAATGGGGACAGATAGGGAAAGGAATGACGGCCTGGAATGCATCTGTGTTGGACATCAATGTTTCTAGAAGTCAACAGTCTTTATTCTTGCCTTCGTATTTATGGACACTTGACAAAGAGATTCACTGCTTTGTTCTTGCAAATGAATTGAAACATGGACCATCATTATACAGAAATGTGCTTGTGAGCCCTTTGTTGACATGCCCACAAGTTATTCTGAGGGACAAAGAATTTGGAGTTGATTGGAAAAAAATCAGAACAGAATATACCTTTTCAGCATTTTCACTTTCCTCTCATCAGCTTTGGTCTTTAGAAGGTGGTAGGATAAGGGTGTGTGTCAATGATATACCATTATTAACAAAAACACTGAAGTCAAGGGTGTTGCAAAATGACAACTCAGCTCTCAGAATTGTGACCCTTATTTGCACTATTATATCATTGCTTTGTTTAGTAATAACATTTATAACATACTGTATGTTTCCAATTCTTCGAACTCTCCCTGGCATTAACAACATGTGTTTAGTTGTATCTTTGTTTTTAGCGCAATTTCTTATGATAGTAAGACCGTCTTTTAGTTCCACAGGTCTAGCAATAGTATCTGCCCTGTCGCATTTTTCTTGGCTTTCCATGTTTTTGTGGCTTCAAGTCTGCTCTTTCCACATGTATCGCGTATTTAGTGCAAAAAGTCGATCAGAATTTAACGGTAATCAAAACAGAAAAATAATGATCCAATATATCTTTTACGCTTTTGGTAGCTCTTTACTTATTGTCATAATCAATATCTTTGCGACGTTGATTGTCACAGAAGGCGAAAATACAGGATATGATAGAGTGTCAACGCTAATGATGTATAAACTAGCATTTATTGTAACACTCATAACTCCTCTATGTTTTGTATGTGTGACCAATGTGATGTTTTATATATTAACAGCCTACAAAATACATTCTACTCCCACTATCGAAAAAACGACTAGAAATAGGGTTCACTTTGCCATATACGTAAAGTTATTTTCTCTGACCGGGCTGTCGTGGATTTTGCAGATCATAGATACATTTGTGGCGTTCTCTGTCTTATCCTACTTTGTCGCTATTCTTAACGGCTTACAGGGTTTGTTTATTTTTGTGAGCTATGTTTGTAATCAGAGAGTATGGAAGTTATACAAGAATAAACTTCACAGATTTCCTGTTCATAGCCCGAATTCCACCGTCACCTCTAAAAGAGAAACAACATCAATGTAAATCACTTAATCTTTAATTGTTTGGAATCTTTACATATTGCTTTTCTTTTGCTATTCTCGTGATGTTCAATCTAATAGAGATTAAGTTCATAATATGCTGATTTTATCATTAAATAAGCTAAACCACTGTGTGTCGATCATCATTCATCTCTTGCAAAATCTGAAATTTACCATCCAGTTTAATATTACATTTAAGCTTATGATATTTACATGGCATCTGAATGGACAAAAGTTTGCCATCAACTACAGTAACATCTTTGATTCAAATCAAATGACAAATCGTGGGGGGGGGGGGGGGGGAGGGGGTGATGAAAGCACAATCAAACAATCTTCAAGTCCTATCGTAAGCCGTCAGTCTTTTAGGCAGTTTGTATTATATATTACACGCACAGTTCGAGGGATGATACTGCACACAACGAACTAAGAAATATTACTCAGAACGTAAATTAGGAGGTGCACAGTGGCACTATGTAATAAAGATTCTGTAAAAGTATCATTATATTTTATTTAGTGGTATAGAAGAAGTTGTGGATAAGAGATAGGTATCCCCGATATTATATAGAAAGAATAACATAGTCCAGTCCGCTTTTCAAGCGAGGGGTATGGTAAAATTTTTGGAAGACGAGACTGTATCGCTACTGGTTTGTATTTCTAATAAGAACTAGAAAAGTAGTACCTGGACTGGAAACTTTGTAGCAATGAAAGCACCAAAAATAAGAGTTATATGATCCTTGGTTATTTTACTTGTGTATCAAGATTTATTGAATTCAGATCAAATACACAGGAGAAGTAACGTCTAAAAGAATCCCAACAGTACCCTATCTTTAGTTACATGTAACATTGCAACAGTGTTCATCTAATCGAAACCAAATAATGAGTACATGTACTATGTACGATTTGTGCATTACGTCATATTGAAATCAGACAAAACCTGTAGAAGGAGTAATATTTTGAAAGTAATTCAGATTTCTATTTATAGTGACAATAGCAACACTGATCGTCGAAATCAAAAACTTATAGAATTATGTATCTTCGTATCCTCGTGTAGACTACTTGTCTTCTAAGTCTTATTGAAATCGGACCAAAACTGACGGAATCTCGAATCTTTTTTATAGTCTACTTGTGACAAGGTTTGATGATGCCAAACCTCTTAGTATGTGAAATGAATAGTGTAATATATTCAGGAAGTCGGCCATTGTGACCTAATTTTTGTTTGACAAATCAACTGACAAGGTTTGAAGATCCTACGCCTCTTAGCATCAAAGATAAATGATTTGCAATGAATAATTATAAAATGTTAAAGTAGGTCGGTCATAGTTACCCACTTTTGGGTCAACATATTCTGAGGTCCTTTGTAGATGCATCAACTGATGAAAGGTTTAATGATCCTTGGCATCATAATATTATATATAAAAAGGTATTAAGACAATGAATAAAGATAAAATGCAAAACATAGGTCACAGTTACCAACTTTTGGATCCTGAGGTCCTTAGTTGCATCAACTGAAATGGTTTGATGCTCCTAGGTCTTTTAGAATCAAATATGTATAAATTTAACAATAGTAATGATAAAATGCAAAAGGAGGTCATACTGACCTACTTTTAGGTCAACTTATCCAAAGGTCCTAAGATGCATCAACCGACAAGGTTAATGATCCTTAGTCTCAAAGTATCAAATATACAGAGATGATAAAAACGCAGAAAGTAGGTCACAGTGACCTACTTTTGGTTCAACATGTCCTGAGGTCCTAAGATGCATCAACTGACATGGTTTGATAATCGCACGTCTCCTTTGCATCAAATATATAAAGTAGGTCTCTATGACCTACTTCTGAAAAGAAGCATCTCGGGTCCTTATTTTTTTGTTCACACATCTTTTACATAATTTTACATTGAATTCAAAACAATATGATTTTTTATAATAGAGAGGGAGAGAGAGAAAGAAAAGAGAGGGTCATGAAAACTGCTAATTCCTTCTGTTCCGATGAGTATCAAAATTTTCCTTACCATCATTTTTACATGAAATATTTTTTATATGTGTGTCATAATAAAATTTCATTTGTGATATTGCAGTGCATACATCTAAAAGTTTCCAAGTACATCTTACAGAATCCGGATTGGGCCATGTAGTTCACTATAGCATCATCGCTCTATCGAGGTTTGTGTCGATAGAGCGATGACGCAATAATGCGATGATGTTGAAGCGATGGTGCGATGAAGATGAAGTGATGGTGTGATAGCGCGATAACGATGATATGATGGCACGATGAAGCGATAGCGCGATGACACGATGGTGCGATAGCAATGAAACGATGGAGCAATGACGATTGCGCGATGGTTAGCTGATGATGAAGCGATGTTTACAATCGCTCTATCATGCTATCGCACCATCGTCATCGCATTGTCGCGTCATCGCTTCATCGTCATCACATTGTCGCATTGACCCTTCAGTCGATGCTCGATGGCGCGATAGTGAATTACGTGGCCCTATCCGGATTCCATATTCCATAGTAAACAGACAACGTAGGAAATGATACACAATGACGATGATGCGATGGCGCGACAATGCGATAGCGCGATTGTACAATGGAGCGATATTGAACATTGCTTCATCGTCATCGTAAATGAACACACGATCGTCATCGCACCATCGCGTCATCGTCATTGCATTGTCTTGCCATCACATCATCTTCACCGCGATATCTCTCCATGGCTTCATCGTCAACGCACTATTGCTTCATCTTCATTGCATTATCTCATTATCGACCCAAACCTCGATAGTGCGATAGTGAACTTCATCGATTTTCAGACATAAAAGATGTTCTATTGTTTCCTTGTCTGAGATGAACGAACGACAACTCTGCATAGGAGTTTGTCTCAGAGTGACAAAATTGTAGTATTTAGAATCCTATTTAATTTTGAATGAGTTAACACTTTGTTTTAATTCTATACTGAAACTATTGGAGTTTGCAGTCTTTTGTCATTCTAAGTGATATTTTTATTCTTTTCATTCCTTATTATCGTCCTCAAAAATCTCTCTCCACTGTGTCTTACCTGTTGAAACAGAAAAGTTTCTATTAAGAATCCATAAAATCATTTTGTTTTATGGCATTTCATCAACTCGTAAATATTTCACATTAATTGATGGATTTGCAAGCTCTTTGATAGTTTTGTCAAGGTGAGAATTTTCCTTCCAAGCCTTTATAGCTTGAATAATACTATTAAGTTCTGAAAAATTATTCTTTACATTGGATAAGTACTACAAAAGATTATGAACTAGAAAGTCTGTCTTTAATAGGGTATATCATTAAGTCATGTAATGCTACTGTCAAACTTTGTGCACTATAAAATGGTTTTCAACCAATATGACTCAAATATTGGATTATAAAATTAAGGTGAGTAGCCAGCAATCTCAGAATTTTTTTATCGAATTTATCAAATATTAAGGTTTATTGACCCTGCGATTCATAGTGTTCAAAACATATAGGACCAACTTAAAAATAATGTTTGTTTTCCCTCTCCTGACTCAAGATGAACAAAATTCAGTCGGTAGGTAGGTGAGAAAATGTTTTTCCCAGAAAATTTAAACATCAAAGTTGAATTTTCAAAATTTATTTTCTGAAATGCATAAAAAATAATTGCTTCCTGGAGGTTAAAAAAGTCTTGAGTCGGACAATTTTTAGCCGGTCGATCGGTCGGGAGAGGGCGACCAAACAATTTTTAAAGATGGCCTAGGTAAAAGCTTTTGAAATGATTCACTGTAAAATTCAGAAAGTAGGTCACCGTGACAGGCATGGGCACGATTACTGAAAAATGTAATCGATTAATAATCGATTACTAAGAGGAATTTTGTGCAATCGATTATTAATCGATTACACTCATTTTGTCCTGTAATCGATTACTTTTGAAGATGTAATCGATTAATAATTGATTACTTCCAAGTTTTTATCCCCTCAAATATCAAAACAATATTTAATACCGTGACCTACTTTTATAGCTGATACACCCCCGGGCCCTAAGATGCTTCAACTGATAAGGTTTTATAATTCTAAATTTCTTAATATCCAAACTATTTAGCTAAATGCTTTGAAAATGAATGGCCATAAAATTAATAAAATAGGTCACTGTGACCTACTTTTTCATTGTCAGACCCTCAGACCTCCAAGATGTATTAAATGACAAAGACTTATGATCCCAGGCTCTACATTGTCCAAGACATGCATCTAAAAGAATTTGACAATGAACTATGTTAAATTTGAAAAAATATATCATTGTGACCTTCTTTTGAGTCAACATATCCTCAAAATCCAAAGATGCATCTACTGACAAGATTTGATGATCCTAGGCCTCATAGTGAGCAAAGTATTGAAGTTTTAACAAACTTTGAAGTGACATTGAGACTATACCCTCTGTCCAAGGGTGATGTCATGAACAATTTTTAATCAACGTCATATCCTTATACTTATTAGCTCACCTGAGCTGAAAGCTCAAGTGAGCTTTTCTGATCACCCGTTGTCCGTCGTCCATCCGTCTGTAAACCTTTTTACATTTTCAACTTCTTCTCAAGAACCACTGGGCCAATTTTAACCAAACTTGGTACAAAGTATCCTTGGGTGAAGGGGAGTGTAAATTGTTAAAATAAAGGGCCAAGTCCCCTTATAAGGGGAAGACAAAAATAGGGTGGGGTCATTAAAAATCTTCTTCTCAAGAACCACTGGGCCAGAAAAGCTGAAACTTATATGGAAGCATCCTGGGGTAGTGTAGATTATAAATTCTTCAAATCATGGGCCCCGGGGGTAGGGCGGGGCCATAATAGGGAATCCAAGTTTTACATTGAAACACATAAGAAAAATCTTTAAAAATCTTCTTCTCAAGAACCACTGGGCCAGAAAAGCTGAAACCGTTATGGAAGCATCCTGGGGTAGTGTAGATTCTAAATTGTTCAAATCATGACCCCCGGGGGTAGGGTGGGGCCACAATAGGGAATCCAACTTTTACATTGAAATATATACGAAAAATCTTTAAAAATCTTCTTTTCAAGAACCACTGGACCAATAAAGCTGAAACTTATTTGGAAACATCCTGAGGTAGTGTAGATTCTAAATTGTTCAAATCATGACCCACGGGGGTAGGGCAGGGCCACAATAGGTATATTAAAAGGGGGAAATCTGGTAAAGAACATCATTCCCAAAGTTACTCAGGTTAGTGATGTAGCCCATGGGCTTGTTGTACATAAGTTTGGTGATAATCTGCCCAGCTTTTCTTGATTTTTTTTTTATTCGATTGATCAATACTTTAGTTCTTATTTCCCTAATTATCTCCCTTGTTTAAAGGTTACATCCCTGTTTCTTGTATAAATGAAAGCCCTTGGGACAGGATACTCTGTGGCAAATCCAACAAGAGGCCCATAGGCCTAGAATCGCTCTCCTGATAAATTGTACAACCCTATCACTTCTATTCTAAGCCTCTTATTATCCTAAATATGAAGATACATTTTGAAATTCTAAAATTAGGTCACCTGTCCTACTTTTCGGTTAATATACTCTGAAAACATACCATAAAGATGCATCAACTGTTTGATGATTCAAACCCTCTTTCTATTTTAATTTTTTTGATTCTTAGCCTCTTATTAATTGAAATATTTAAATATAGTCATGAAATTTCAAAATATGTCACTGTGACCTATTTTTTTAGTTGTCAACTTTGAGGCTGAAGATGCACCAACTGACAAAGTTTGATGATTGTAAGCCAATTAGTAACTGAAATTCTTAAATATAGCCATAAATTTTCAAAAGTATGTCACTGTGACCTATTTTTTAGTTGACCTACTCCAAATCCTACGGATGCATCGGTTTGGTGATCCTAGGCTTCACAGTGTCCAAAATATGCCTCTTAAACATACTGAAATTGAATACCTGCAAAATTCAAAAGGTAGGTTACTGTCACCTACTTTTTGATGAATATTTTTCAACACCCCAAGATGCATCAACTTACATCTAAACCTCTCAGTATCTGAAATAGTGACCTCAAATGTTTTGAAAATGATTAGCCATAAATTCAGAAAGTAGGTCATGGTGACCTACTTTTTGGTTGACACATGATGATCCTAGTCCTTACAGTGGGCAGAGCATCATTTTAGGTCTACTTTGAAGTGACCTTAAGCCCATATTCTTTTCCCCTAGGGTGATGCCTCAAACAATATTTAATCTATAATATATCCCCATCCTTATTTATAAGTTTGGTGAGATGCCCAGTAGTTCTTGAGAAGATTATTTTGCAACCACTACTTTTGTTTTTATTTCCCTAATTATCCCTTATTTAAGGCCACATCCCTAGTTTTAACATAAATGAAAGCCCTTGGGCCAAGGATACTCTGTAACAATTTGACAAAAATTGACCAAGGGGTTCTTGAGATATGGCCCATATTCCAAAAAGTTGACCACACTGCACAAATAGCCATAACACTAGCTCTTTGAGCCTTTAGCTCAAAATGACCAAGGGTTCTTGAGATATGGCTTGCATTCCAAAAAGTTTATGCACATCGCACAAATGACCATTACAGTATTTGCCTTTGGCTCAGAAAAGCTGAAAATACACATTATTTGGAGCATATAGCTCATGTAATGAAGTCTCAAGTCTCCAAATATAAGACCAAAGTTAACATAGTAGACAAATAATGACAGTACTACAACACCTCCCTCCCTGCCAAAATTTGACCTCAAGGGCAAAGAAGTAGAGCAATCAAGGATTGAACACCTTCAAAGAGAAGTCCATGGTAAACTAAATTGAATAAATACTACATTAGAATTGATTTCAATTATCATCTGTTCTTATCTCATTTATTTTAATATCTAATGTCAGACACATAAATATAAATAGAAAAGGACATAATAACATATATGTATCACATAATTTATGACTTTATGGTTAATTACTAGACAGTTTCCCTAAAGAACTTCTAAAATGTCCTTTGAAAATTATAAATACGACATGATCTTATTAATCTTCAAAACTGCCTCAATAACAATACAACCCTCAAATATGGTAATCTGCCATTACAATAACTGCAAAATATACACCAATCTAAAGTCATCTAGCACATATTTTTTTCTTCTTCACCGTTATTACTACATACATGTATATACACTGCAGCTGAATAATCAGTTCCTCTTTTGCAATGAAGATCACGTTACTTTTAAGTGTGTTAAGTATCACAGTAATCAATCATAAATGCTTCAAATCATTCTCAATACCATACATTTTTGACTTGAGATTTTTCAGTTCGCCCATTATTTTCTTGGATCTTCCAGCTGTGGCCCGCACATTCTTCAGAATCTGTAAATCTAACTCCTCAGGCCGTTTCATGTCCATATCCTCAGCAAACCCCATGGTAACCTAGATCACAGTTTAAAATTTGATATATTCAAATAACTGAATAAAGAATGCTATAAATACTTACTCAATATAATTGAAAATAAAAATCAAAATATTTAAATATAGTAAAATTCACAATATATCCTGTATGCTTTTATAAACAAACTTATCAGCTGTTCATTTACCCTACCTTGTATAGTTGCCTTTCGACATCTTTTAACCTTGACCTGAGGTTTTTGATGTCATTTTTGAACCCCTCCACTTCTAGATTACGCCTTCTCTCTAGATCCTGGTACCTGTGGTTCATCAGTTGTAAGCGCTTCGTCATTTTGTCACTTCGACCCTAAACAACACAGATACATAAAATGAAAATTCATATAATAATCAAATTTTAATTTGTTGATGTCATATTATACTGTAATTGCTCTTCATCACTCCAAAAGTACAGTAAAACAACCTTAAAGATTTCCCTGGTGACATCCCCTTCCTCTCGTATTCGTGACAATTCATCCTCAAGCTGTATGACTTGTTCCCTGTACATCTCGGCCAACTTCTGGGACTGAGTTAGCTGGTATTCCAGAGACTGTGGAGGAAATTGGGTAGTTTAGAAATATTCAAATTTCAGATTTTCTTTAGCAGAAATTAATCTCACTGCAAAAACTTCCACTTATACAAGTACAATGTCAAACATGCATATATAAAATTAAAGCTAGGAATATTAAATATACAGGTTTACAAAGACTTACATCTGATTTCATTCTGGAAAAATAGGTACAGCAGAACACACTTATAATGAAGTGCCAGGGATGGATGATTGTGCTTAATAATAAGCATAATTCATTATAGCTGTTAAGTTTACAACATATTCTAAAATCACAGGGAATGAAAATCACTTCACTGTAAGCATCAATTCATCATAAGCGTGTTTCACTGTACATTGTAGTTAATCTTGAAATGTTCCATCATAACTATTGCTGATAATGTACAAACAAACGTATTCCCTACCTTCATCTCCTCCACACAGCCTGCCCTGTCTAAAGCGCCTTCTGACATGTTTAACACAGGGTCTCTGTTAGGATGAAGCTGAAGTTTTACATGATCTAGGTCTCTCAGGAGCTTGTCTTTCTCTCCCATCCACTGTCTTTCATTGGATCGTCCCTGGTACCTCAGCTCCAGGAAGTCTTTGGTGCTCTCGTACAGAAGGTCCTGAGTTTTGTGTAGTCTAAGTACCAGAAGAATTGTTTGCTAGTCAAGGTCATGTTACTTTTGAATGTTCCAGAAATACAAATGATATTCCTTATTCATATTTAATTAATATGTTTTATTCTTGAAAGTTTATACATATAATAACCCAAAAAATTGCTAAAGTTTTGAATACTTTTCAGAAATACACATTAAATATAAACAGCAAAATTTCTACTTTTTTGGACATATATTTAAGTGAATTATGAGCTTTTGGTACATTTTTATTTAAATTAATTTGAAAAAATGCTTTTTGTGACTTACTTTTCTGCGAGTGTGGCAATTTTGGCCTCATCCCTTTCCATTCTGGTCTGCATTTCCTCCTCCTTCACCCTCCTATCCTCCATCAGTGCCTCTGTTTGTTCCTTGGCCAGCTTGGTCTGCTCCTGTAGCTGTGCCTGTAGGGCCTCTACCTGGAGGACCAGCGACTCATTGTCATGTTTGTACTTCTCCTCGGGGATGGCCTCTATTGAGCCTCGACGGTCAGACAGAGGCACTGATTTCTTCTTTATACCTGCAAAATTTGCAAAAAATTACTATAATATGAAGAAATTACTAGCAAACAAAACTTGTGTGTTTTCTTTGTCGTTTTTATAAGTAACTGATTTAATACAGGTATTAATCAAATATGCCTACTTTTGTGGCATCATTTTTATTTAAAGTGTTTAGGTATTCCACAGTATGGTTTACAAAGGTGTTTAATTATTTTAAATATTTATATATTTACAGACTTTGATTTTTATCATTTGATGTTTATTTTTAACCTACACTTACATGTATTTGTTCAGAGAGAAATTGAGAAAAAGAGAGAGAGACTTTACCTCTATTTTGCCTGCTGTCTGCAGCACTCTGGGGTCTTTTATTCTTAGTTTTCTGCTCTACAATAGCCTTTGCTGGAGGTTCCTTCATAAAATATGTAGTCTCACTGTCGGGGGTACTGGACAGACTCAAAAGTTGCTGGATCTTCTTCTTGTCCTCTAGTTCTCGAATCTGAAAGTCACAATGTAAACAGATTAGTAACCAACAAAAAGCAAGATTGCCTTGATGCAATTTGTGAATTCCAAGAAAGGTAAATTGTGCATTTTAATATCCAGACAAGAGGCCCATGGGCCACATCGCTCACCTGAGTAACTTTGGCCATGCTGTTCTTTATCAGATTTTCCCCTTTTTAATATACCTATTGTTGCCCCGCCCTACCCCCGGGGGTCATGATTTGAACAATTTAGAATCTACACTATCTTAGGATGCTTCCAAATAAGTTTCAGCTTTATTGGTCCAGTGGTTCTTGAAAAGATTTTTAAAGATTTTTCTTATATATTTCAATGTAAAACTTGGATTCCCTATTGTGTCCCGCCCTACCCCCGGGGGGTCATGATTTGAACAATGGATGCTTCCACTTAAGTGTCAGTTTTTCTGGCCAAGTGGTTCTTGAGAAGAAGATTTTTAAAGATTTTTCCTATATATTTCAATGTAAAACTTGGATTCCCTATTGTGGCTCCGCCCTACCCCCAGGGGTCATGATTTGAACAATTTAGATTCTTCACTACCCCAGGATGCTTCCATATAAGTTTCAGTTTTCTGGCCAAGTTGTTCTTGAAGAGAAGATTTTTAAAGATTTTTCTTATATATTTCAATGTAAAACTTGGATTCCCTATTGTGGCCCTGCCCTACCCCTGAGGGTCAAGATTTGAATAATTTAGATTCTAAACTACCCCAGGATACTTCCATATTAGATTCAGCATTTCTGGCCAAGTGGTTCTTGAGAAGAAGATTTTTAAAGATTTTTCCTACATTTTTCAATGTAAAACTTGGATTTCCTATTGTGGCCCCGCCCTACCCCCGGGGGTCATGATTTGAACAATTTAGATTCTACACTACCCCAGGATGCTTCCATCTTTTCTGGCCCAGTGGTTCTTGAGAAGAAGATTTTTAAAGATTTTTCTTATATATTTCAATGTAAAACTTGAATTCCCTATTGTGGCCCCGCCCTACCCCCGGGGGTCATGATTTGAACAATTTAGAATCTACACTACTCCAGGATGCTTCCATATTAGATTCAGCTTTTCTGGCCCAGTGGTTCTTGAGAAGAAGATTTTTAAAGATTTTTCTTATATATTTCAATGTAAAACTTGGATTCCCTACTGTGGCCCCGCCCTACCCCCGGGGGTCATGATTTTAATAATTTAGAATCTACACTATCCCAGGATGCTTCCACATAAGTTTCAGCTTTTCTGGCCCAGTGGTTCTTGAGAAGAAGATTTTTTATTGACCCCACCCTATTTTTGTCTTTTCTTGATTATCTCCCCTTGTAAGGGGACTTGGCCCTTTATTTTTACAATTTACACTCCCCTTCACCCAAGGATACTTTGTACCAAGTTTGGTTAAAATTGGCCCCGTGGTTCTTGAGAAGAAGTTGAAAATGTGAAAAGTTTACAGACGGACGGACAGACAGATGGACGACGGACAACGGGTGATCAGAAAAGCTCACTGGATATTTCAGCTCAGGTGAGCTAAAAATAAATAGCTGGAAAATACATTCTAAATACCCAGGTTCTGACACAAACAAATACTTCTCATTGGCAACCATAAATGTATTTGTATTTTTTATTTTTTTTTTTTTTTGATTTACGTAAGTCTTCCTTCAAAAGTATCTTAAAATTTAGTGGTACACAGAAGTTGGCTGAAACATGCATTTGTGAAGAGATTACAGTAATTACATGTACCTTGAGTCTGTCATTTTCAGAGTAAAGTCGTAGAACATGTTCGCGTTCCTGGAACAGATAGACCTGCATGTCACTGAGTGCCTTCTGTAGTTCCACAATCTCCTCTTCTCTCTGTCTCAGCTCCCATTGTAATTTGTGCTGTAACAGAACATGGAAAAAATTCACATAAAGAGTAACTCAAGGTAGTAGGGTAGACAGCTACCAGCATGACTTGTTTGCAGTTTTAAAATAAAGAACCTTCACACCATTTAAACACTTAACAAGTAACAAAGTGTATAATTACAGAAGACTATTTAAATATGATTACCTGTTCTTCATATGTGATACGATATTCCTCTAGTTTGCTGACCATGTGATCATGCTCTTCATCATATTCTGCTATTTTCTTCCTATAATATTCCAACAGTTCTCGGGACGGACGCAACTGACCTACAAATTTCAATTCCAATAAACACAGAGGCACTATATTTTGTGAATTACCATCGACTTACTTTAACCATATTTACACATTAACAAAGAAAATTATATTTATTCAGAGACAGTTCTGATGCTTTATTCTCAGAGTTTAATTTTAAACAATATTTTGCAATATACTACATGTACATGTATTACATAATTGTTAACTGTATTATGCCAAATTTACTGACCTAATCTTTCATTGATGTTTGGAAGACCCCCCTCACTTTTTCTGGTGGGCTTAGACTCCTCAGGGTCTGTTTTGTGGTTGATAACAGACACATTCTTTTTCTGCTTGGGGGATCCTTTATCACTAAAAGCAGAACTGATTCAGTTAATAAACACTCTGATTAATACACAGCATACTTTCTCTTTCTCAGCAAACATAGCAAACATTTGATTTTCGTATTTTACTGTCTATCCAAAACTAAATACGAGCTTTAAATAATAGAATCACATACATATATTTCAAAATTATATGCATCTGAAGAGCACACAAATGCAGTATACCTCATGGTTCCTTTTTTGAGTTTGGCCTGCTCATATCATATTGTAAAACATCATTGCTGGTTCTAATCACTCTGGAAGAGAAAATTTCAATGAACTATAATAATAAAGCCATTTCTGATAGATAACTGGTAAAAACACACAAATAAACACACCAAACATGTAAATTTATGTTTTGTTTTGTTCCAAACAGATAAATAAGTTAAAATTTATTTTTAATGAAGATTGTTTATTACATGAGCCACCAACATAAGGCCACTTATCCTTCTGTAGCAATATCCATCAATAGGCAAAACTGTTAAACATGTTTGTTTCCTGTAACATTCCAAAAATATCAAGGGTTGGTAGATAGGATTTTTTTTATTTTTAAGCTTTTTCTTATCAAAAATGCTAATGTATGATCTAACTTGTGATACAATATGTATAATAATATGTGGATGGTGGCAACGTTGGGGTGAGCACAGTTGTGTTTCATCAGATAGCCTACTTATTCACTTTAAATTTAGATCTTCAAACTGCATAGTTAGAATAATCTAACTGTGTCTCGGGACGGGCCCTCACCACAGTTAGAATGCCTCCCATATACCCGTAATGTAACAGAAAATTGCAGAATTGCTCCGAAACGATTTTGGAGAAAATTAATGAAGTTGCATTGAAAATAACAGTCAAATTAATCATAACAAACCTTTTTGAGACTGTAAATACCTTTCATCTAAAAGTTTAATCCATATAATGGAAGAATTCAACACTTTTTCACCAATGGTCTTTACTCGTTTCAAATTTACACACCATGTTGACATTCGGAACTCTCGGGATTTTTCATAGTAAATGCACTGAGTTAGAGTTATCTCCCGTATTTTCTTTGCTACATAGACAATACACGGAACGCATTCTATCGTTAAACCGGGTCTGTAGGACATTAATCATTTTAACGATAGAAATTCTATCTACAAACTGCACGACATTTGAGAGGTTTAGACTGTGACATCACGACCTCGTATGTTAGTTGTACACTTCAGTAATGAAGTCTGAAATGTGCAATAACATGTGATGTCAGAGTCTAGACATTCCAAATGTCACTTACTGTTTGAAGAGGTATCTACACTTGTCCTAACGGTCACACTGTCAACATAAATACACATCAACTGAACTTGATCACCCTAACATTCAGGTCTAGTACAATCACTAGATTTAGCTACGTAGCTTGAATTACCTACATAGCTTTATTTACCTACCTGAAGTAGCCTTATTTAGCTACTAAATCAAGCTTATTTCTTAAATAAGAATTTTTCCCAGAAAGTGCAGAAAATTGCACTTTGATGCAGTGATAATTTTCAACTTTGAACTCATCTGAAAACAATTCATGAAAAAATCACTCTTGGAGATGTGTCTTTTTTTTGCACAATTGCAATTAAAGTTCTAAAAGTTTTGGGGCTATATACATGATATACAACAGTTAATTTGTGACCTAACAGTTACTTTTTGAGTGTAATAACAAAGAAAATCAGTTTTGGTTAACATGAGCACAATGTGAAGTAATCATACTTATCCAGCCTCATCGCGCACAAGGAGTGTACAGTTACTCAAACAATGGGAATACACATTTTCCTTAAAAGTGATCAAACGCAGCAATGTTAAAACTATCTCTGCTTTATATTGCTTTTTAAATGATACCTAGAATAAATATTAGTAGACATTTTCTTGCGACTTTTTGTCTTTTTAAAATAAAAAGCAAAATTGTGAAAAGTTGCCTTGAAATAGCTAAATAAAGCTACCTGATGTAGGTAAATAAAGCTATGTTAGGTAAGTTTAGCTACGTAGCTAAATGTACTGATTGTACTGGACCTGAAATTTGCAAGTTATCAAACTTATTATTTTCATTGCAACTTAATTTGTTTTGTCAAAAATTTTGTCAAAGCAGATCTGTTCCATTTTGCTTTATTTCAACTATATATGGATCATGTTCTAACTGTGGTGAAGGTCTGTCCTGAGACATAGATATAAGACTAGATTTACGTTTACATTTCTCAAATGAAAAAATAAATACTCAAAAATCATTCAAAAATATCCCAAAAACCTTAAGCCAAATGTAAAGATCGTTAGAAGAAAACTTTCATTCCCATCCTACCATGTTCACGTTTTTCAACTTTGGTTTAGAAACAAGCCTAAACCTGCATTTCCTTTTTATGTTCTTACTAATGCTGCTAATCACTTACAAAAAATGTACACGCAAACAAAACTTCTTACAAAAAGCATTCTTTGTACCATTTAAAAAGTACGTTCTATTAACCCACAAAAAGCTTACTCAAACACTGTTTCTTGTTCATTTGTTGTTATGTGTTACAACTTGCAGACGCCATTTTGAAAAATTCCGCTTCAAGTCCCGCAGTTATTATGTTTTTGTTTTCGTTTATTTTGTTAGGTAAAAATTTCGTAAATACTGATGATTTTTATGATTCCTAAAATAAACCATTGGTTATTTATACCAATTTTTATTTTTATTTTAATCCTTTTCAGGTTTGTTGCGAACCTTAAATGTTTCAAATGACCAATCATGACCTTGTTTGGTTATATTCCTACGCTAAATGCTCTCTTTTTACATTTTTAATCTATTTCTCATTCAAATTTATAATTCTAAATTTCATTACATTGTATACTTTATGAAAGAAGATATTTTTGTCCATACTATATTTTATTTTTGAAGAAATTATTTAATAACTTAGACCTATTTTCTAAAGCGGAAAGTCCTTGTTCATGAGTTCCTGGGCAATACACATATTGAATATTGTTGGCTTTTTATGATGTGTTGAATAATGTTACTGATTGTTTTGTGTCGATAAATGGCTTAGGTCTCGTGATTTCTTGGATTTATAAGACCTTTCTGAAGTGTCAGTAATGGATGAACCATACATTAACTTTATTCCTCCTCCAGAGGCACCGGTTTTCACTCCCACTGAGGAAGAATTCGCAGATCCACTAGGATACATCGCAAAAATAAAACCTATTGCCGAAAAGTCTGGAATTTGCAAAATTAAACCTCCACCGGTTTGTTATTCTTTGTTAATTTAAAGATATGCGTTCATTTTAATATGCAGAAATATGGTGAATTAAAACTTACGCACGTCAGTACTGTCGCAGGTTAGGGTACGTGCATTGTAATGGAGCAAACATGGCGACGCATTGTTTGACCATAGGAACTGACAGATGCTGCAAAGGAAAAGTCTACCAAATGATATAAATAGATGCACCTCCCTTTATTGTCTGTATAATTAATTTAGGCCATTCTTTTAAAAATGTAACCTAAAAACTGTTGAAATTATTTTTTTCCCCCAGTTACCTATAGATAGATTTATTAGGTTAGCCATTGACCAAATATAGAATAACTCATTAGCATATTTTACATTCATAATTTCATTGTTTATTTTCTATATGTTTAAGAATGGAAGGGTTAAATGTTCAGGTTAAATGCATACAGAATTTTAAGTAAAGTTTTTTCGTAAAATTAGGCAGGGACCTATAGAGTAATAACATATCAAAATTGTGTGGTCTTCAAAAAGATTTTGAAACGGAGTCAAATAAAAATAACATCATTTTTATTTTTATAGTTATTATGGAGTTTTAAGTCGTATCAATTTAGTTTATTTACACAATTATTTTTCTTTCACTGTAATAAACGTTGTAAAATTTACTTCAAACAATAAAACCAATATATTTTATATTAAACGTTAAATTACAATTCAGATTATGTTTTTTTTTTTTTTTTCAAATTTACAGATTTTATATTAAACTAAAGAATAGTAATATGTAACAAGTTTTCTCATTTCTGGAACTTAGAAAACATAATCATGATCATTTAAACATGTTAAAACAATAGATTTCGTAAAGGAGTGGCATTTATATCTGAATATTTTTTTTTCTTTAAGTTCTAATAATACAAATCAGACTGCATATAGGATTATATAAATCTTTTTTCCAAGCTATTTCTTCTTATTCTCCAGTTGCATACATTAATTACCCAGACTAATTTTCACATCCTGAAAAGGTCAAGGAAAGGGTGTATCTTAATTCTACTGGATAAATTTTATTTTCTTTCAACATAAATTAAAACAATGATGAAATAAAATTCTGGATTTTTTGTTTAACTGGAATGAGAAAGATCCAATCTTAGATGATGATCTGGCTATGGAAAAGTGGATACATACAAATCCAATATGGCTGCCTGTGATTTTAGGAAGCCATCTTCTTTTGTGTATTTGTGTTATACATGGGACAGTATTGTGATGAGGATCCCCTTTATTTCAGGATTGGCAACCTCCATTCGCAGTGGATGTGGATAAATTCAGATTTACTCCAAGAGTTCAGAGATTAAATGAACTTGAGGTAAGGATTTTATTTTTATACTGGGCCTTCAATCATTGTATATACAGTGTTCATGGTGTATTGAGTATCTTCTCTGTATATCAGTATATATAAGTTAGGTATTTTGATAGGCTAGGGATACTTATTCTGTGGAATAGATATATACATTTGTTTTTGGACTCTTATTATGTCTTCGGTTGTATCTAGCTTGCTGAAACCTAAAATTTATATAATTAATATGATGTGTAAAAGAACGCATATTTGTGGCAGATAAATAAGTTGAATGTCTAGTTTTTGTTGTAATTAGGTATACTTGGGGCTTAGTAACTCCTTTTTTGAAGGTTCCTTTATCCCTTGGGGAAAAGGGGGGGGGGGGGTTATGAAATTTTTGAGTTGCATTCACATGTTTCATTTGTAATCTATTTTTGAAATTACCTTTAAACATGATAAATGTATCAGTAGTAATGCATGAAGAAAAGTCATTAAATCTGAGAATTCTGAACCTTTGAAGACTAAACTAAATGCTTAGTTTATCCCATTTACATAGTTTACAGGCCTTTCAAAATCTGCCTTTAATTGGTACTTTTATCTGGCTGAAATCAAGATTGTACCGGCCAAATTGTTCGAGAAAAATTCAATAACATTATTTAGTTAAAATTTCCACATGGTTCCTCCTATATTTGTAAAACTACCACCTGTTTCTTATCTTTTTGATCATGTTGAAAGCCATGAATTTATAAAATACATATGAAGGTGGAAGATATATTTTGATTTTATTTTTTAATTTGGGCAGAAAAATGGCAAATTCAAATATTAGGACTGGATTCTTTTAACCAGATTTAGAAAATATTAAAATGTAATTCCCATGTTATTGTTAACTGTAAGAATTGTGGTGAATGGCATAAATGAAAGATAATTTTGATTTTGTAAACGGTAAATAATTGGACATAAAATTCCTAATTGTTGAAGAGAGTAAGTTTTTTTTTAAGTCATACATCTGTGGATTAGATATATGGCAAGACTAAGAAAAGGTAAGCATTAAGAACAGCATTACTTAACATGCTTAAACTCAAGATATGGTGCACAATAACATGAATAATTTACCTAGTAATTTACTATTATGATCAGATTGTATTTATACTTTTACCATCTGTAGGCTTTCACTCGGATTAAACTGAACTTCTTGGATCAACTTGCAAGATTTTGGGAGTTGCAGGTAAGCCAATATTTTACTTTTGATAGATTGTTGCAAATTTAATCACAGCAACCTATATAATTGTTAGGATTATATAACCAGATATTTTATTACTCCATGTTTCTGTATGCTTTTAGGGCTGTTCTTTGAAAATTCCTCATGTTGAGAGAAAGCTGCTGGACCTGTACAACTTGTACAAGGTAAGTCTGTTGAAGGCTTCCATAATATTTAAATCCATAGTTTAAGTATTGTGTTATTTAATGATGTGAAGATATCAGATTAAAAAAATATAAGATCAATTAAACAACACTGTTGTCTGGTATCATGCTCTATGAAGCAACAGTTATTTTATTCAACACAAGTAGTAAAACACCTGCTTTTTGTAGGCTGTTAGTAACACCCCTGAATTTTGTAGACTGTTAGTAACACACCTGAATTTTGTAGACTGTTAGTAACACACCTGAATTTTGTAGGCTGTTAGTAACACAACTAAAATTTGTAGGCTGTTAGTAACACCCCTGAATTTTGTAGACTGTTAGTAACACACCTGAATATTGTAGACTGTTAGTAACACCCCTGAATTTTGTAGGATTTTAGTAATGCAACTGAATTCTTTAGACTGTTAGAAGCACACCTTAATTTTGTAGGCTGTTAGTAACACACCAGAATTTTGTAGGCTGTTAGTAACACACCTGAATTTTGTAGGTCATTAGTAACACACCTGAATTTTGTAGGCTGTTAGTAACACACCTGAATTTTGTAGGCTATTAGTAAACCACCTAAATTTTGTAGGCTGTTATTGACACACCTGAATTTTGTAGGCTGTTAGTAACACACCTAAATTATGTAGGCTGTTAGTAACTCACCTGAATTTTGTAGGCTGTTGAAGAAGAGGGTGGTATGGAATCTGCCACCAAGGAAAGAAAATGGACCAAAATTGCTCAGAGATTAAAGTATCCCCCAGGAAAGGGGGTTGGGGGATCACTCCGATCTCACTATGAGCGAATCCTCTACCCATTTTTTATCTTCAAGAAAGGTGACTCCTACCCAGCAGAGGTACATGTATATGATGTAATATTATAGCAAAGGGATTTAGGAAGTTTACCATTTTAAAAAGAAAAGAGAGATCAATGTTGTAGTGATTAATGTCAAAAGAACTTGATTTTCATTGACGTTAGTCTTAATTAAAAAAAAAGCTTTTTAACGTGTTAAGATTAGGTAAATTTCTAAGTATAACAAGCTTCAGTCAGTGAACTAAATTCATTCCAAAATGGTAAAAAAAAAATATTTAAAAAAAAAAAACAATTTAACAAAATTTACAAAGTAATAAAGCATATACAGCAGATTAATTTGATTTTGAACATATCATGTATATGTTAATGTAAATCTTGCAATTCACTTGAATGATTCTATTTGTTGTAGCAACCAAAACCAGATTTGTCCTCAAATGCTGAGGAGGAGGACAAGTCCGACAAAGATTACAAACCACACGGTATAGCAGCTAAAACGGCAGCGGGGGGATATACTCGCAAAAACAAGAAAGAGAGGGCACAGAAACAGGTGAGTAGGGCAGAAGTCTATCTTGACATCATAACTGCTGGTGTACAAAAAAAGATTTACTATGAGCAACTGGTGAGAATTCTGTATGTTCCTTCACAACATTAGCTAATTATTTCTCAATTATTTTAGAATTCCATTGCTCTGTAATTTACATCTTTCCCTATGTAGTACATACATACATACATGTACAAATCTTTGTGATTATTTCTAGTCTGTAAATTACTGTGTGCTATTTAAATACAGTCAGTACTGGTTATCCATCTTTTTGTCTTTATCTGACTTGTGAGGAGTAAAATGTAAATCTTTTTTCTAATTTCCTAAATTACTTCACCTTTATACACTTATTCTGCTGTTTGAGAAATCTAAATAAGCCTTTTGTTTTCAAGCTTCCCTCTGACACAGATGAAGTCCCCACAGTTTTAGTGAGTGCTGCTTTTGAGATTTCCCCTGAATCATTATTTATAGCTTCACATCACACAGCCAGTAGAAGTACATGACTTTTCCTTATGAATTAGACTACCAATTTATATGAATGACAGTTTCAGCCTTAAAAAATTCTTTGAAATTACAGCCTATGGCAATATATTAAAAATCATATTTACTTTAACCCAGCTCCAAAAGGGCACTAACTGAAGGCAGAGAATTGCTTTGAAAATGAATTGCTTGATATATTAATACCTTCATGGAAGTTAGACTTACAATGGCAATTCAAGTTCTCAGAGCGTCTTTACTTGAACTGAAATCAGCAGGTAAATTGTTTGTAATAAGGTCCTCTAGGCTCTAGCTGCACTAAAGATCTCCTAAGGTTGCTTAAATTGGTGTTGATGTGGAAGCTAAAAATAATGATAGACCCATGTTCATTATAACATATACTCGTAGAATAGCAACTGATATTTCTTAGTAAAACATCATCAAGTAGTTTTTAATCCAGTATTTATCTGTATTCTTGAATACTATTTATGGTTATGGAAACATTTAGACAGTTCCCATTTGAAAGGTTGTAACTTTTTCCAAAAAATTATTGATCATGTTGTTTGGGATTGGTGCTAAAAATCAAGTGAAATTGAAGCTACACTGTATATATATGTATATAGGGTTGTTCATGTTTGAAGTATTCAAGATGCAATTGTCTTTCATATGCAGGGTGCTGAACCAGAAATAATTTTAGCCTAAAATGCATTTTTTAGCCATTTTGATTAAGACAGAATGTTCTAGATAACATTTCTATTTTTTATGAGTCTTACTACTCTATCATGTTCATTACTGTTTAAATCATAAATGTGGAGCTAAATGTTTCACTAATTTCCATTAAAATATAGGGAGTGGTTTGGAGTGAGTTCATCAGCATACTTTGGAAAGTTTAATAATAATTCAAAGTTAATTGTTTGACAACTTTAAAATTATTCTGTTCACATTGATGTACACTTCACAGTTTATTTAGGTCTTCAAGTCCTTGCAATGAAAACTCTAACTTATCTACAGTTAAAAGTTTAAAACATTTGATATTTTCCTATTCTCCACTACAGGGTGCATATTCCTAGCACTGTTGAAAATGGAAATATAAAAAGGCTGAACTTTATTTTTTCTCCGGATAATATTCTTACACAGTGATTCCTCGGCAGATTTAGGACGCTGCTTTCATTGCTTCTGGTGATAAGGCATGAAATATGGCTAACGTTGAATATTGGTAGCTAGCATTAATTTATGATTTCTTTTCTCCTGCAGGAGAAGATGGACATTGACTATAATGTTAACTCTGAGCTGAAGAAGTTACAGTTCTTTGGAGCAGGACCAAAAGCTGCTGTTCCCCCAGCCGGGGAGGGGAAAGGTGAAAACAAAGGTTGGGTTTTCCACATTAGAAATTTAAGCGCAATACTAAAATATGTATGTGATGTTTTCTATTGTGTTTTTTTAATGCAATTATACATTTATATCGAGAAATGAATAAGTGTGTCAAAAAATAAGTACATACACAGTGAAACAGAGACATTCTTTGTCATTATATGATTTATCTCTGTAATGATTTCAGATGAGATTAAAGTGGAGCCTTTGGAGAATGGTGGTGGAGTGAACACCAGGCATAAGAACCCAGGGCCAGGGGCATACACCACAGTAAGTCTTACTGAGGACAGCTGTCATCGGTGATGTTGAGAATGTCATGTCAGTTTAATGCAGAAACTTCCTGACAAGAGTTTTTCATACTAAGTTAAACTTGATTGTACAGTTCTAATTAGCAGTTTAAGAAAATTGTAATTTAATACATGGATGTTGAAAATAAAGCAAATCAATTTTGATAACGGAACTAAAAATGACAAAAAACATTCAGTGGAAAAGTTCAATTGATAAGTGTAAAATGAGTATGTCATGTTTAAGGTGGATTTGTACATCTGTCATATGTGTAACCGTGGTGATGGGGAGGAGTACATGTTGCTATGTGACGGATGTGATGATGCATTCCATACATACTGCTTAATCCCTCCCATGCCTGAGGTCCCTAAAGGGGACTGGCGATGCCCTAAATGTGTGGCAAAGGTGAGATTCACGAAAGAATTCAAAATGTAAAGGTTTGCAAAGATGATTTATCTATTCTCATTACAGGATACGTTTGTCAATTTTTTCATTTATTTTTTTCTCATGGTATCTAGGCTTGCTGTCGTCCTTTGAACCCTTATGGATTTGAACAAGCTAAAAAGGACTACAGTCTGCAGAGTTTCGGAGAAATGGCTGACCAATTTAAATCCAACTACTTCAACATGCCTGTGCATGTAAGTGGCCCTTCAATGTATAGTAATTTTGAGCAATATTGTCAACTTAATCATAATTAAAGTTAATGAAATGTGCTTCTGTGCATACTGAATTCAATTTCCAATTTCCTTTGGGTCTTGTATTCAAACTTGCTTTGACATTGTTATTGTAAAGTTTCATAGAGAACAGTGTACATAATGTACATGTCAATCTATTTATTTTTTTTTTTTTTTAATTTGAATTAAGAATTATTATAAAAGTTTTAAAATTATAATTTCAATATTATAAAAGTTTTAAAATTATAATTTCAGTATCGGACATAGAGAGCTGATTAGGAAGGTACTCTTTTAATAAAGTAAAGACATAAAAACAATTTGATTTCTGTAGATGGTGCCGTGTGAGATGGTGGAGAAGGAGTTTTGGCGATTGGTTAACTGTATTGAGGAGGATGTATCTGTGGAATACGGAGCAGATATCCACGCATCAGAAATGGGGAGCGGATTCCCCACCAAGGACACTAAAGACATGTTCCCAGAGGATGAGGTAATGGGAAAAAAGTCGACGGAAACACAGTAGATTTTATTGTTTTATTTGTTGATCGATAAAACTTTATTATTATTATATCTATTTCAATGATGCAACTATGACTCTTTCTGTTTGTTAGGAGTACATCAATTCTGGATGGAATCTGAACAATTTACCTGTCCTAGAGCAGTCTGTTCTCTGTCACATTAATGCAGACATCTCTGGCATGAAGGTGGGTTCTGCTCACTTATTGTGTGTTAAAATTAAAAATGACATTGACTAAGAGACCCATACTTTGTGATATTTTCTACTGTGATGCAGTTTAATGATGTGTTTGTTATTTACAGATTCCATGGTGCTATGTGGGAATGTGTTTTTCCAGTTTTTGCTGGCACAATGAAGATCACTGGAGTTACTCTATCAACTACATGCACTGGTAAGTTCTTATCCATCATATTCACACTTTATGTGCTGGATTTTTCTGTATATAAATCAACTGATGCTATAAGAACTGCTTTTTATAGTGGGAATTATAGATAAAATTGATTACTTTCAATAATGATTCAATTTTGAGAACTCTTCACTACTCATTTCAGGGGAGAACCAAAGACCTGGTACGGTGTCCCTGGAGCGATGGCTGATTTGTTTGAGGATGTAATGAAGAAGAGTGCCCCCGAGTTGTTTGAAGCTTCTCCAGATCTTCTACATCAGCTGACAACCATTATGAATCCTAACATTCTCATGGACCATGGTGTTCCAGTAAGTAAAGTTGTGGATTTAAAGTCATTGACAACTCTACTCAAAGGAAATGAATACTATTAATGACTTGTATTTCTTTCTGTAGATTGTGCGCACCAACCAACATGCAGGAGAGTTTATCATTACCTTCCCCCGAGCCTACCATGCTGGCTTTAACCAGGGGTACAACTTTGCTGAAGCAGTCAACTTTGCACCAGCTGACTGGGTAAGTTCAAGATCTTCACATGCCATTCTACCAGGTTTCTTTTCAAATAAATCTACAAGTCTGCAATTTGTTCAATGTTTTTCTGTAAGTGTATCATGTTTTAAAATATATCAAACATTTTTCCAGCTACCCATAGGACGTGCTTGTATTGAACACTATAGATCTTTGTGTCGTCAGTGCGTTTTCTCACATGAAGAGTTAGTATGTAAAATGGCAGCTGATCCAGATAACCTAGATCTCATCATTGCAGCCAGCACTCACAAAGATCTGCTTGCTATAGTAGAAGATGAAAGGAAACAGCGCAAAAACCTGCTGGAAATGGTAAGAAATGAATTAAAAGTTAATTATGAGTATGTAGTATGACATTTCAAATTATTTTGGTTAACTGGGACATTATTTTCTTGATGAAATTTCATAATCTAATGTTTTTGGGAAAATTTACTATTAAAAAACAAAAAAAAATCAAACTTCTTTGGTAAAAAATTACTGAGGATTCTCACAAGTGGATACCATGTGGTATTCAGCAGGGTTATAAATCAAGTTAAAATACATATTAACTATTACAAACTGTATATACATGTACTTGTATAATGATTCTAGAGAACATTTGGAAAAATGCAACAAACCAAAAATATTGTCCTTTTGGCAACTTTGAAGGAAAATCAATGACCGTGTATTTGAAATTATGATGTTAGTTATATTTTACCTGGTTTATTTTACATATATATATATATATATATATCAGATGTCTTATTTAATTTGTTATACATGTACTTCTTTTTACAGGGAACAAAGGAAGCAGAGCGTGAGGCGTTTGAGTTACTCCCTGACGATGAGCGACAGTGTGACTTCTGTAAAACCACCTGTTTCCTGTCTGCTGTCACCTGTCCTTGTAAACCAAGTATGTTTAAAAATTAGTCAACCAAGTATGTTTACAAAGTAGTGAAACATGTTTGTTTATGTTCTAGTAAAACATGTTTGTTTATGTATTAGTAAACCAAGTATGTTTACATATTACCAAGTATTTTTACATACATTGTATTTCCAAGTATCTTTACATGTCAATCATTTTGGTACTTAGTTAAATTATCTTCAAAGTTATTTTGATTAGAAAAAGTAAAGACAACTATGTCTTGAATAAGTTGCAATTTTTTTTTTTTGGATTTGTTCATTTGTATTTTTTTTTTGCAGATAAAGTTGTTTGTATTCATCATGTGGACAAGTTGTGTGTTTGTAAACCATCACAATACTGTCTGAGATACAGATACACTCTAGATGAATTACCCACAATGCTCAATCGCCTAAAAGTGCGAGCGGAGTCGTTTGACAACTGGACAACTAAAGTCAGAACTGCTTTAGAGGCTGAAGTGGAAGAGAAAGTTGGTAAGTTGTGTGAATTGCATTGGTCAAACCATACAAAATATCACAGAGAAACTAAATCCTTATTCCTCCCATCTAATTACAATGTACATGTAGCTCTGAATAAAAATTTTATCTTAACTGAAACATAAGTGGAAGGATATTTTTAATTTCCTGTATGAGTATTGAAAATGTTTGCATTGTGAAGTGGTAAATCTTGATTGAATCTAAACCTTTAAGTGTCTGACTTGTGTTTGTGGAGTACATTGAATGTTACAATATTAAGTCAATGATTTTTCTTGTAGATCTGTCTGATCTGAAGGAGTACATTAGTGAAGCTGAAGAGAAGAGATTCCCCGACTCGGAGTTGATGCAGCAGTTAGTTATGGCAGTCAACGAGGCAGAAAAGTGTGCTAATGTGGCTGCTCAGCTCGTGTCCAAGAAAGCCAGAACTAGGTCAGTTATAGGTTGTTCTATCAAAGACAGGTACTGCCAGATGGTGTATCAATAGTGTGTGTGTGGGATTTTTAGCTCACCAAAACTAGTGAGTGGAGACTATCTGTCTGTCTGTCTGTCTCTATGTAAACACTTTACATTTTCATCTTATCAATTAACCATTTGGCCACTTTTAACAAAACTAGCCACAAAGCAATGGCTATTCAAGTTTGTTTAACTACAGAATCACACCATTTACCAAGGGGAGATAATTAAGAAATAAGGAACATGTTGGGATCGTTTAAATATCTTCTTCCCAAGAACCACTTGACCTGGTATACAAAACTAACACAAAAGCTTCTGATATAGTGTAGATTCATTTTGTTCAAAACATAGCCCCAAGGACGATGGCAGGTCCACAGTAGGGATAAAAGTTTTACATGTGAATTTAAAAAAAAAAAAAGCTTCTTCCAGAATCAATGAACCATAATATGTCAAATTGATAGTCAGTCATCCCCATGTTGGTAGATGCAAATTCATTCAAATAATGGCTCCTTAGATAAGGACTTGCTCCTCTGAAGTCGAAGTTTTGCACTGGAATTTATAAGAAAAATCATCTTCTCAAGAAAGTTAGTCATGTTTACATGCAAGCATTCCCATGTAAAGAAGATTCGAGTTCAGGGCATGGCACAAGGATGTAGGTTGGAAATTAAAAATTTACAAAGAAATTTTTAGACATCCACAAGAAAAGGGGGGTACAATTTGTGAAGTTGCCTCAATATACTGTAAATTAAATTGTGGAAGTCCTATATATATGCGTAATTTGGTGAACACAGTGAGGAGTTTCATTTATTTATATGTACTAAATGATGACTCAGGTGAGCATTGTGACCGAGTATTCTCTTGTTTCTGTTTATTTTTATGCCCCAAGATCAAAAGATCCCGGGGGTATATTGTTTTTGTCCTGTCTGTCTGTTGTCAACTTTAACCTAGCCCATAACTATTGCGCTGTCAAGGGTAAGGCTTTAATATTTGACATGAGTGTTCATTATGACAAGACCTTTCCATTGGTACAGAAATTTTTGATCATGTGACCTCAACTGTGACCTTTGACCTACATTTGAAAAACTTTAACATTGGCCATAACTATTGCACTGTAGTCTACGTTCCACTCCAGAATTGTGTTACCATCGGGGGCATAGTGTTTAACAAACATATTTTGTTTTTCTAATACATGTATATTGATAAGCAGAAGAGTTTCAATTAAATATTTTAAAAAAGAAAGACAAGAAAATTTAAGAATAAAAAAGAAATGCAGAAATTATCTTTTATTAAAAAAATTATTTTTCAGAAATCGACACAATGAAGGGAAATACATAGCCAAGCTAAGTTTAGATGAACTGAACTGTTTCTATGAACAAGTGGCCAGTCTAGCATGTGTTATCAAGGAGGCCAAACTTGTCAAGGTAAGTATTTGTTAACTGTGCTGTCTGAAAATTTATGTAAAATTTGAACAGGAACAAATTTAATTGTTTTTAGTAACAAGTTTACATTGAGTTTGTAAGACATGCCAGAGGGAGGTAGATTTTGTCAACAAAAGCAAGCATGAGATGAAAAGTATTGCACATTTGAAGATTAATTTTAATTATGAGAAGCTCTATTCTTACACTTACTCATAACGATTTCTGAACAGGAGCTGCTAGACAAGGTTGTACAGTTCCAGAAAGATGCCCAGGAGGCATTAGAAGCTGAGAATCCAGACTCGGAGAAACTAGAACAGCTGATTGAGTTCAGTGTTACACTAGATGTGGATCTTCAGGAGATTCCTAAACTGAAGCAGGTCAGAAAATTGTTGCCTTATTGTGCACTGTATTAGCATTTGCCTGTACTTAATATTCTGTAAAAGTATAACTTGGTGAAAAATTAATTTTTGCCAAATGTCATACTAAACAAATATAATACATATTAACAGGTTATATTTACTAGGGCATCTTGGAAGTAATGCAATATTTGCTACAGCAACTCTAACCCTTTTTTACCATCTGGATGCTATACCAAAGTTTCATTGATTCAAAACATTGTTATACATTGCTATAAAAGACATCAGAGATGTATCAATTCATTCTTATAGTTCATTCCTTTGATTAAAGCATTGTTCCATTCACTAGTGAACTGGAATACTTGAATGACACCAGAAAATTTGTAATTTGAATCTTAATCATAACTGGATCTGAAAAATATTGTATAAATTTTCAACAGGTGCTACAGCAAGCAAAATGGTTGGATGAGGTCAAATTGACTCTTCTTGAAGATCAGCAGCAGGTCACCCTGGAGTCAATGAGGAAACTGATGGAAGCAGGGGTAGGGCTCGCCCCTCATCCTGCTGTAGAGAAGGCTATGGCTGAATTACAGGAGCTACTGACAGTCAGCGAGAGGTGGGAAGAGAAGGCCAGGATCTGTTTACAGGCTAGGTAAGGCAGGGATGGATCAAGATTTCATCAAAGAATGGTGTGGAAGAATTTGAAAAATATATATATTCATTGAATTCATTTCTTAGCAAAATATTATTTGATTCATAAATGATTAATTTACCAGAAGAAATACTTATCAAATGAGAGTTGGTAAAAATTTCACGTGTGTATTTCAGGCCCCGTCATGTGATGGCAACACTGGAAGCCATCATAAACGAAGCCAAGGGTATCCCAGCATTCCTTCCTAATGTTAGCTCACTTAAGGATGCTCTGAAGAAAGCAAAGGATTGGACACAGAAAGTCGAGACTGTACAGGTTAGGCATTTCACTTCAATCTAAATTGAAAAAAATATGCAAGAAAATGTGAAGAGGCTGGCATATCTGCATTATGGACCAAGTAACCTCACTCTTGTGTTGGGGTTTTAGAAGAATTTATCAAGTACCGCCCTGTGTCATATTTCCAGTTTACAACATTTTGTTCTGAAATGTATTCTACTGGCATATTTTAGAACTCAGATTCCTATCCCTATCTGGATGCTCTGGAGAGTTTGGTGAACAAGGGTCGTCCTATTCCAGTCCGTCTGGATCAGCTACCACAGGTGGAGTCTCAGGTCGCAGCTGCCAAGTCATGGCGTGAGAGGACTGCTAGAACCTTCCTAAAGAAGAACTGCACATACTCTCTACTAGAGGTAGGATTTGTAGGCTTGTTCAGTATTTCCCAACTTGCTGAAGGAAAAGGATCTATATAGAATAGGCAGTGTTTGCATACGTGTACCTGAGTCTTATTTTTTCTTTAAAAATTTGCTTTTTTAGCTCACTTCAACGAAGTTGGGGGAGGTTATGTAATACCGTCGGTGTCGGCGTCGGCGTCCCAGGTTAAGGTTTTTTGGAGCAGTTTTCTTTTCAAGTACTTCTATGGCCTATATTAGTCTGAGATGCATGGATTATGCTTCTAGTGTGTTTCATTGTACCAGTCAAGGTTTCAGATGCTGCAATTTCAGCTAAAGAATGACCAGGTTAATGTTTTTGGAGCAGGTTAAAGTTTTTGGAGCAGGTTAAAGTTTTTGGAGCAGGTCTCATTTCCAAGTAACTATAAGCCCTATATTGACCAAACTTGCATGGATGATACATGTAAGGATGCACACTACTGGACTTGCTTTGGATGCTGGATCTGACCTATATTTTCTGGATGAGTGACCAGGTTAAAGTATTTGGAGCAGATGTCATTTCCAAGTATCTATAAACCCTATATTGACCAAACTTGCATGGATGATACATATAAGGATGTACACTACTGGACTTGCTTCGGATGCTGGATCTGACCTACATTTTCTGGATGAGTAACCAGGTTAAAGTTTTTGGAGCAGATGTCATTTCCAAGTAACTATAAGCCCTATATTGACTAAACTTGCATGGATGATACATCTAGGGATGCACACTTCTGGACTTGCTTCGGATGCTGGATCTGACCTACATTTTTGGATGAGTAACCAGGTTAAAGTTTTTGGAGCAGATGTCATTTCCAAGTAACTATAAACCCTATATTGACCAAACTTGCATGGATGATACATCTAAGGATTCACACTACTAGACTTGCTTCGGATGCTGGATTTGACCTACATTTTCCGGATGAGTAACCAGATTAAATTTTTTGGAGCAGATCTCATTTCCAAGTAACTATAAGGCCTATCTGAACCAAACTTGCATGGATGATGCATCAAGGGACGAACAATCTCAAAACTTGCTTCGGATGCTGGATTTGACTTACATTTTCTGAATGAGTGACTAGTTTTAAGTTTTCAGATAAGTCTATTCCCAAGTAACTGCAAGCCCTATCAGATCAAAATTGCATAAATGTTGCATCTAGGGATGCACACTCCTAGATTATTAGTTTAGTGTGGGACTTTGCCTTACTTAAAGACAACATTCGTTGAGGTGAGCTCTGTAATCTCTGATTACCTATGTTTATATACATGTAAGAAAAAGAAGATAATATTTCTCATTCATGAACTCATGCATGTACATGTGTTGGATACATTAACAACTGCATTGAGATTTTGGTGCCAAAATTAACAAAAGGTGGAAGTTGTAGTTTAATGTTGACTTTTCTTTGATCAACAGTAACATACAGTTATCCGTACTTTAATTTATACCCCAAATAAATCATAATTTTTATACATGTATTTTTTCATTATTAATGCTTTTTGGGAGAGCCAGAAGATACTTAGAGGTCAAATACAGATTTATCACCGTAGATAATAGGTACATTATATTTCACAAATGTGTTTGTTGTAGGTTTTGTCACCCAGAGCTGACATAGGAATCTACAGTGGTAGTAAGAAAGTGAAGAAAAAGATCAAAGAGGAGGGAAGAGATCGCCGGGACAGCGAGAATAACAACCAATCAGATTACAGAGTGGATGAACAAAGAGATCCTGCTGCTATTGTAAATAGTTTACTTATTATAATCAATAATGTACATTTTACATCAACATGCTTCATGTATTTGTAGTAATTAATAAGATATTGTTTATTTATTTATTTGTATATAAATATGTTTCATCTGCTCATATGGATCATTTTTAGTTACCTTATATTTAGGTCAAAAGTTTTAAAAAGTACATCTCCATTTTTTTTTTAAATCAAAGTTTTGCTTTCTTTTTCAAACTTAGGTTGCTGCATTCAAAATGGCAGAGCACAGAGAGATAGAACTGATGAGGGAGTTAAGGGACCGTAACTCTGCCAAACTTCGCCAGCCACATGGAGAGGCCAAGTACTGCATCTGTCGTAAAGAGGGATCGGGATTCATGTTACAGTGTGAACTCTGTAAAGACTGGTTCCATGGTGAGTAAATTAAGTATTTGAACTGCAGTGTAGAGCAAATTTAATGAGAGGTGGGGCATTTAAGGATTTCTCTTGCATCTCTGTTAAATTTCAAACTCCTATTATTTGGACTGGAAGCTCTTTTGATATTATGTTCCCATACATTTCCACATGAAATAAAATGCAATAAGAAATACACATGTATGAATATAAAATTATTGATTCTTTGTCTAGCATAACCCCCACCCCCACCCCACCACTTCCTTTATACATGAATTAAGGTTTAGGAAAAACTCTGAAATTTGCTGTTTAATCATTATATGAGAGCTACATGATTATGTGTATTGTTCTCCTTATACAGCAAAGATAAAAGACAACTTAATCAAGCCATGATATGTTCTCATACAGTCATGGTTCAAACAGTGTGTTACAGAGTTATTGCTCATTAAGGATATTACTAGGGATGGCAACGAATATTCGAACATTCGAATATTCATTCGATGAGTTGATATTCAAATATGAATTTAAAATTCGAATATTTGGTGTTTTTCAGATTTCATAAAAAGAAATACTGTGATTAATAAATTTTGATTAGTACAGTGTTGGAATTATCCATATTTAATTTACTAGCAATCAATTTCGATCGCCTAATTTCTTTCACAACTTTCTTATCTCATAGATCTACTAAATTACATGAGTTTTGTTTTGAGTAAGGTGTTCAAGAATTGCATAGTAATGCTTTATGTATGATACAAAACGTACTTTCATAGTTTCTTTTAGTTAGATACGATCGGATGTAGAATCGAAGACAACAAATTGAAAACCTTCTTAGAATGTCTTAAAGACGTGAAAAATATACTTATCAAAATAAATTTAATTGATCGTTGAATGAATGTCCGATGGAATTAGTCTGTAATTAATATTGCAAAGGGCTCAATTATAGAATAAATGTGTAAAATACTTGATTATCTCGGGTCATAGATAATCCTGAATTTTATATTCATTTTCGGGAAATTAGTTAATTACCTAGGAAAATTGTCTATGGAAATATTTGATTGTTATTTTAAAAACATATTATCAAAGATTATAATCATATCTCTTATTAGGCAGATAATTGTAATTTATTACAGGTATTGAAATCTGAACAGTATACCGTTACGATTATCTTGCCTTTGGGAAGATGACTGGTTCCTCAGTTATAGCTACTTTAGATACACATGTATCAATTGTTAAAATTATACTTTTCTACATTTAAATCAATTATTTATTTCAAACAATGACAAATAATAAATGGAATTTCTTATTGTACATCTATACAAAAGTCTTCATACAATTTTACTTTCAATACAAGTATACCTACGCTAAACCTTTCATGAGAGTAGGATGCTGCATATTTAAAATAAAACAGATTTTATTTATTTTATTGAATATTCGAATATATTCGAATACTTTCATTGAATATTCGAATATGAATTTTTGACAAAGTTGACATCCCTAGATATTACTACATCCTATATATATATATATATATATATATATATATATATATATATATATATATATATATATATATATATGTATGTATATATATATATATATATATATATATATATATATTATATATTATATATTATATATTATATATAGGGACGTATTATTTTTTGGTCTGCTTATTTGATTGTCACTAATATTAAACTACTGTATATTATGTACATTTGTATATCATGTATATAAAGGCTTTACACTGATATAAGTTAGTAAGCTTTACAAAAATAAGAGGGGCAGTACCTGCACACATCAGTGTATAAAAGTCAGTAAAAAAAAATTGTTAGTCTTAACACTCAGATTTTCTGAATTTACACTGTATTTATTTAAAAATCCTTGATAATTTCTTTTGGCAAGTGGGTTCAGTGGAATTTTTTTTCACTGGCCTGACTTACTAAAATTAAAGTTAATATCATTATGACTACTTTTAATTTCATTCATTTTGGGCTTACTTGGTGGAGTCAATGTCAAAATGACCATACTGCAGAGCATTAGCTTACTTTTTCAATTCTCTTTCTCTTATGATTGATAACATTTCATCTCTTAGTCAAACTTTAATTGCTAAGACAGCCACAGCTGACCATTAGTCTTCTGTGGTGCCTGTCTTCTAGCAGAGAGTAACTCAGTCTACTGGAGCTAGACTCGCCCATTATGACTGTTTGGTTCAATCAGACTGGAACATCCACAAACATTCTCAATGATTTTTTTTTTTCAAAGAAAAACATGATTTTCATTAAAAAAATGTTCATATTGAGACAGTGACTAACTTATATATGTTCTTATCATTTGAATTAATTTTTCCATAAGAAATTGCTGCTTAATCTTTAAATGAGAGATACATATTTACCTGTATTATTCTCTGCAAACAGCAAATATAAAGACAACTTAATCAAGCTGTGATCTGTTCTCATATTGACATGGTTCAAACAGTATGTTACAATGGCAATATATATACGAACATGTAAAATAGAATAATAAACTCAAAAAAATTTAATAATACAATATTCTTAATAAATTCAATTTGAGCTTCAATTATTATACTTTATGTAAGATATAATTGTTCTGTATTATTCCTGCAGGAACTTGTGTACCCTTGCCTAAATCTGCCAACCTGAAGAACAAATCTCAGCAGGCTGCTGCCGTACAGGCTGCTAAGGATCTCAAATTTCTCTGTCCCCTGTGTCTGAGGTCACGACGACCAAGACTGGAAACCATTCTGTCTCTCCTGGTTTCTCTGCAGAAGCTCCCCGTTCGTCTGCCCGAGGGAGAAGCCTTGCAGTGCCTGACTGAGCGAGCTATGGCCTGGCAGGACCGAGCTCGACAGGCCCTCACCACCAGTGAACTCGCTTCTGCTCTTGCCAAACTCAGTGTACTGAGTCAGAGGATGGTAGAACAGGCTGCCAGAGAGAAGACAGAGAAGATCATTAATGCAGAGTTGATGAAGGCGGCTAATAACCCTGAGTTACAGGGGCACCTGGCCAGTGTCACACAGAGTGCATTTGGTGGAACATCAGGAGTGATCAATGGGAAACAGATGGACTCTGGATTCCTGGACTCAGAAAATTCCATGTCACCCCCCATGTCACCTGAACAAAACTCGGATGACATCCAGATGGAGGTTGAGATATCAAGCAGCACTAACCACACAGGAATGTCTGAACACGCCTATTCTACAGCCTCCAAAGGAGGATCTAGTATGTTGAACTAAAAGTGTTTGGAAAAAATAAATATTGTGGAATCATTAATTTTTTTTGGAAATGGTTAATTAGAATTTTTGAAATTTTATTGAAACATTTGATTGATGGATATTTTAAAAAAGAAGACATCATAACGATATACTCAACAAATTCTCGTCATAATTCATAGAGGTTGTAAATTCCTGAGCATAGTTTATCCATGAAATCCACAAAATGATAACCTCATGAAATATAATGATTTCAGAGTATATGAAAATGCTTTAAAGTATGTGAAAACAGCTGTCAGAAGATTTATTGTGCTCTTAATTAATTTTCAAAGTGAAAAAAATAGCAATGAGGTTGTCACAACTACATAGTTTCTTGTTTTTCAAACTCTCCTTCATATACCTATGTACTGTACATGTATAATTAATTGTGTGTAAATTTATCTGTCAAATACTGACATTATACCTATATGTATCTGCTGTAGATGCCTCACCTAGAAAACATCAGAGGAAATCTCCCCTAGTGGCTCGTTCTGGCCTGGAGGCCCCTGTCCTCGAACTGTCAATGACGGCCAAGAAACAGCTGGAGGAGTTAATGATGGAGGGGGACCTGTTAGAAGTGTCACTGGATGAGACGCAGCACATCTGGAGGATCCTCCAGGCTTGTCAGCCAAGGGGCGAAGGGAAACTACTGGATCTAGATATTGGAGATAAGGTACGAAACTGATCTAAATAGAATTTATAATTTGGGAATGAGCAAAACAGGCAGAAAAAAAATATCGTGTGTTTACAAGCAGATTTTGTCTGTCACATGAAGCAGGAAAGTTGCCTAATTTTGTTTCTGAGTCTGTCACATGAAGAAGGCAAGTTGCCTAATTTTGTTTCTGAGTCTGTCACATGAAGAAGGCAAGTTGCTTAATTTTGTTTCCGAGATGTAAGAGTAATCATATAAGAATCCTTTTCTGTACATATTGGCTACATAATATACATGTATGCATGTCAAGTGGTGAAAATGCACACAGTTCATTATGTTCATAGTAGATTTTATGAAGGCATTATAAATTGGTTTAAGGTTGGAGTGTAGAGTTTTCCACTGTAAAATTTTGTTTTTGCCAGGAAAACAATATGTCCTGTACCAAATAAAATAAAAATTCTTTTCATATACACAGGGTCCTGAAAACATTGTGCCAAAGGAGAACTTTGAAAGAGAAAAAATGGTTGTGAAATTCAAGAAAGAAAAGGATCCAGAAAAGAAAAAGAAGAAACGCAAGAAAGAGGAGGAAAGTGGAGACATATCCAAACCAAAGAAAACAAAGGATGGATCTGAAGGAGGGGAAAAACCCAAAAAGGTCAAGGTCAGAAAAGAGAAAGGAGAGAAAGAAAAGAAACTCCTGAAGGAATTCGAACTCCAGCAAGATCAAAGTAAGTCATTGGACATAGATACATGAAAGTTAACAGATATCATTCAAAGCTAATTGAATTCATTCAATGCATGTTATGAAATGCTAAAGACAGCCACATCTGATTGTGAATCCTGTGTGGTGTTCGTCTGACATCTGTAGCAGATAGTAACTCAGTCTACTGGAGCTAGATTCTTCTCTCATGAATGTCTGGTTCAATAAGACTGAAACATTCTCCATATATTGTCTAATATACAATATAATGACTTGTTTTTTTTTGTTTGTTTTTTTGTGGGGTTAAACTTTTGTAGTTTAAGGAAAAAATTACTGATTGAGGGACTTTGATGGTTAAAGGAGAAACATCATACTACAATATGAAATTTTAAAATTTCATGCAGGACATGAATTTGTGGGTCTCTTCATACCACAAAAGCTACAAATGCTCCCATCCCCCCCCCCCCCCCCCCCAAAAAAAAAAAAAAAAAAAATTGGTGATTTCACAGTATGCAAGTACATGTACACATTGTTATTAGCTCTTCTGAGCCAAAGGCTCAAAGAGCTAATGCTATGGCCATTTGTGCGGTGTGCGTAAACTTTTTAGAATATGGGCCATAACTCAAGAACCCCTTGGCCAATTATTGTCAAATTTGTCACAGGGTATCCTTGGCCCAAGGGCTCCCTTTTATACTAAAACTGGGGTTGTTCCCCTTTAACAAGGGGAGATAATTAGGAAAATAGAAACAAAAGTACTGGTTGCTAAAAAATCTTCTTCTCAAGAACCACTGGGCAGATTATCACCAAACTTACACAAAAGGATGAGGATATGTTGTAGATTAAAATTTGCACGGGGATTTACCCTGGGGCAAAGGGCGTGGTCTCAAGGTCACTTCAAAGTTGACCAAAAATTACATTTTATTAAAATGTTGATATTTTGCTTACTATAAGGACTAGGATCATCAAATCTTGTCAGTTGGTGCATCTAAGGACCTCATATCATGTTGACTCAAAAGTAGGTCACGGTGACCTACTTTTTAAATTTTGCGGCCATTCTTTTTCAAAATGATTTAGAGGTATATTTTGAACAATTTAAGGCCTATGATCATCAAACTTTGTCAGTTGATGCATCTTGGGTCCTCAAAGTACATCAACTAAAAAGTAGGTCACCTTGACTTACTTTTTGAATTTTATGGCTAATCATTTTTAAAACAATTAAGGTCATTAATTCGAATACGGGGAGGCTTAGAATCATTAAATCTTGTAAGATGATGCATCTTGGGGCCATAAAACATATTTATTAAAAACTAGGGCACAGTGACCTACTTTTTGAACTTTGCCGGCATTCAATTTCAAAGCGTTTTAGAGGCATAATTTGGACATTTTAAGTCCTGTGATCATAAAATTTTGTCAGTTGATGCATCTTGGGTCTTCAAAAAAAGGTCAACTGAAAAGTAGGTCACAGTGACCTACTTTTCAATTTATATGACTATAATTAAATATTTTAGGTACTAATTGGCTTAGAATCATCAAACTTTGTCAGTTGATGCATCTTGGGTCTTCGGAGTGGGTCGACTAAAAAGTAGGTTACAGTTACCTACTTTTGAAAATTTATGGCGTTAATTTAATATTTCGGGTACTAATTGGCTTAGAATTATCAAACTTTGTCAGTTGATGCGTCATGGGTCTTTGGAGTAGGTCGACTAAAAAGTAGGTCACTGTGACCTACTTTCGGAAAATTTATGGCTTTAATAAAATATTTCGGGTACTAATTGGCTTAGAATCATAAAACTTTGTCAGTTTATGCGTCATGGGTCCTCGGAGTACAACAACTGAAAAGTAGGTCACGGTGACCTACTTTTGAAAATTTATGGCTTTAATCAAATATTTCGGGTACTAATTGGCTTAGAATCATTAAACTTTGTCAGTTGATGCGTCTTGGGTCCTCGGAGTACAACAACTGAAAAGTAGGTCACGGTGACCTACTTTTGAAGTTTTATGGCTGGATTTAATATTTTCAGGAATTATTTGGCTTAGAATAGTCAAAATTTGTCAGTTGATGCATCTTTGGTCCCCGGAGTAGGTTGACTGAAAAGTAGGTCATTGTGACCTCCTTTTGAAAATTTATGGCTGTAATTAAATATTTTGGGTACTTATTGGCTAGAATCATCAAACTTTGTCAGTCGATGTATCTTTGGTCCTCGGAGTACAGCAACTGCAAAGTAGGTCACGGTGACCTACTTTTGAAAATTTATGGCTTTAATTAAATATTACAGGTACTAATTGGCTTAGAATCATCAAACTTTGTCAGTTGATGCATCTTGGGTCCTTGGAGTAAAACAATTGAAAAGTAGGTCACTTTGACTTACTTATAAAATTTTATGATTATAATTTTAAAAAATACTCTAGGTATTAATTGGCTTAGAATCATCAAACTTAGTTGATGGGTCCTCAGAGAATGACAAGTGATAAGTAGGTCACCATGACCAACTCTCAGGTACTAATTGGCTTAGAATCATCTTGGGTTCTCAGAGTGTGAATTGGAATTTCAAGGGTTCATGTAAATATACAGGATACTTCGAGGCTTCAAATAGAAGTGATAGGTTGTACAGTTTATCAGAAGAGCGATTCAAGGCCCATGGGCCTCTTGTTTTTTTATAAGTGTACTACCGTATATACTCACCTTTAATTTAAGTCCCTCAGCTTTTAAGTCGATTGTATATTTTAAACGTCATTTTGGAGGATTTGCTGATCCTCTTATGTGCAAGAATCAGTTGCCAATTTCAAATCAATGCTCTTATTGTTTTTATTTGTGTTTCAAATAATATTTTGGGAAAATGACACTGATATAAATATTTTATCATTCATTCTCAAAAAGTCAATTTTATATACATGTAAATACTCTTAATTATTTGGACCTGCATTGAAATAATATTTTTGGGATATGGCATTTCATTTTTAAGCAACAAATTAAAATATATTACATTTTATCGACCAGAAAAATACCAATGTTTATAAGACTCAACTATAAGTTGGACACTGAGTTTTTGACCAAAATCTAACTCCATATAATCTGAGGTATAGGGGAGTATATACATTTTTATGATGTGAAGAATAAAAGTGATTAATAGTATATTGGTACTGCAGTTGTACCAGTATATATGTCATATGTGTATTATACCGTATAAGTGGAATTTTTAGCGAGACACAAATTTAGTAATTTGTCCTTAAAAATCAGTGTTTAATTTTAGTGAGAAAGTAATTTTAGCCATTTTATGGTGCATAGAAAAATAACAGTAACCTGTGTGGAATAAATTCTTAGTGATATTTAATTATTGGCAATCTCAACACCCTCGCTAAAAATGCCAAAATTGAATCCTTGTTAACATTTCTCCTTATACGGGAACACATTTTTAATTTTGGTTGTTTCTTTTTGTGCCAGTTATGTCAGAATCAACAGCATCAGATCTGGAAAAGATAAAATTAATGGTTGACCTAAATGCTGAAAAACTCAAAAAGTTGGAAAAACCCAAGAAGAAGAAAATAAAGGTAAAGAAAGAAGGGATGACAGAAGAAGTAGAGAAGAAGAAACGAAAACCAAGGAAGAAGAAAGAGAAGGAGTGTCTGGTGATGATGGAAGATGACGGAGATGATGATGATGATGACAACTGTGCCGCAATTAAATGTTTGAAACCTACAGGTCAGTACTACATATATAATGGGAATGGCCAGATATTGATTATGATTTTTATCTCAAGTTCATATAGTTAAAAACAAACCATTAATCATGTACATTTATTTATCTAATTCTAGCATAAAAAATATTGTAAACCACTTTTCTTGTAATATCAAGGGACTGTGTAAGGTATCACAAAAATTAGGTTATTTACAGTAATTGTAAAAAAAGAAATCTTTGAAATCTGATTAAGATGTTCTATTTGTTACAGGTGAGGAGGTAAATTGGGTGCAGTGTGACCGATGTGAGGAGTGGTACCATCTGCTTTGTGTTGGACTCGGGGCAGACGAGGTCACTGAGGATGAAGAATATGAGTGTTTTAAGTGTAAAAACCGTGACAGTGCACTAACTTTTGTTTCATCCAACGGAACACCAAATACAGAGGGGGTGGTAAGGAACAGTCTTAGAGAGAGCATAACCATCAGCACATCGTCAGGGGTCACAACAACTCGAGAGACCGACCTTTTAACTGTGAAGGATGTGGAAATCACTCCTCAAGAGAAGATAAACAGTTCTCCCCCAAAAATTATAAGGACTCAATCACCCATTAAAATTCAGGAATTCTGTTCTCAAAAATCTTTGGCTGGAAAAGTTTCAGAGAGCACCACGGTGAAGAAGTCTGTTAGTGAGGAGGGGGATTTTGTGAGTTCTGTGATATCTGGTGAGGACATTGAGGAGGAGCTTGTTCCTCTTGAAGAGGAGGAGGACAGTAACCTTGGAGACAGTGGAGAGAAAGTGAATGATGGAAGTCCGACCGACTCTGTTGTTGTGGCAGACATTATCGATGGTATGATGACAAGGTTAGAGTCGCCAGTGATCACCACAAAACCCAGCACAGACGACACAGAGCAGATGACACAGGATATAGAGGCCATAGTACAAACGGCAGACGAGTCATGACCTTTTGATCCATCTGTCTGTTGTTAATCTGAATGGTCAAATCTTTGTGAATGTATGTGTAGATGTATATATGTACATAAACTCCACAGAGAGAGAGACAGTTGTGCTTGCCTTCATCACATAACAGGTTAAAACCTAAATGCTGTAAATCCTCATTTGAAAGAATTTGTGTCACAGTTTGTATTAAACCATTGCCATATTCAACATGGATTTCATACCAGTCCTAACATAAAATGAAATTGTGTCCATCCTAAGCATTGTCAGCAAATTTCAAATCAAATTTCTTTGGTCATGTTCATACTTGTACAGAATATCCAACTGTTCAGCAGCAGTCATATTGTACAGTATCTCTTGTTGATCATTTTGGAGTGCTATGTTTTTTGTGACTATTTGTGACTACTATCAATTTCACCTTTAGTTACCTACAGATTTTTATACTTGTGTTACATTTAGATCCATTTGTTTTATTTATTGTAAATCTTTTGTAGATAAGAGTGTTGGCTTTGTTTTTGTTTTATCGTGTTTATCTATTTTTGCTGTACATGGGAGATGTACAAGTATTTTACATAAATTCATTTTTTTTGTATTGTAAGGGGACAATTTTAGTCATGTACATTGTGATTTATGTACCATCCTCCTTTGTATAAAAGGTTATCATAATTAAGACCTGTGAACATTGTGTTTGACATGATATATTTTGATTGGTGAAAAAACAAAAACAAAAACAGAAATATTTGTAGGAACCAATCCTTTCTGAAGCAAGGTGTAATGACTATTGCAGAGGATATTGTAGAATTAGCCTAACAACTGGTAACACAAAAACCAAAACCAAAATTGTGTCAAAACTCCAGGGTTCACAGAAACTTGTGAGGGTTGTTAGACATGTTAGATAATGAACTTATTATGATTAATTATCTTAAGTACAGAAATTATTCCAAGTCAGTAAAAGTAGACATTTTGGCATCTGTGTTGAAAATTCAAGTTTTTCTTTAAGAAAAATTTATATGATATGTACCAATTTATCATTTTATTAATGCAATAATATTCATATTGAATTTTGGGTATAGTATTGAAGGAATGCTGGAAGGATTATGCCACAATGGATACTTTTACAAACTTGTTCATGTAGCAACAAAGTTTCATTAATGATTTATCATTCTGAATGAAGTCAGACTGTTATGTGACAACAGTTGGACAATGTTTTGTATGAAATTAGGTTATGAATGTGTTTATGTAATATTGTGTAGATGAACAGAGAAAAAAAACACCATTAAATAAAAGTTAAGTACAACAGCTGTCAGTTTATTTACATGCCATTGTGTAAGATGAAGAAGTAAAGTGTTATAAAATATCCTTCAACTGAAAGTGAAGGTGTACCATTTTATGACATATATGAATTTGTGACTTAGACCTTAAAATCAGTAGGAGTCTTTTTTAACTTGAAAAGAATTAACATTTTAATTTCAAAAAAGAACTAAATGTACCAGCTTCATAACAATTTATTCAATATATGAATTAGTGACCTTTGACCTCAAAATCAATAAGGGCATTCATCTTGTAATAGGGAGTTACGAATTTTCATTGCCAAAAAAAAACAAAAAAAAAAAACAAATGAATACTTTCAGGGATATTATCAATTAAGGTAGTCCGATCCTCAGGTTCCGAAAATCAGCTTTTAAGTTAATTAAAAATGCGTACAAAAATGTCTCTGATTTCACATAGAAACATGAGTTTACCCATGGAATTTCTTCAAAGTTCATCATTATAGTTAATCACTAGATGAAATCCCGCGCAAGCGCGGGGAATTGAATTTATACCACTACCGACAGAATATATATATTGTAGTTCTCTACGGACAGCCTACAGGCTTATAGCAGGAACAAATACTGTGTTCAAAATCCCGCATGAAGTAGATTTACCTATCCAACCCCCCCGTTTTTTGTGTTTGTATTATTTTTTTTAATTTTTTTTTTTAAACTTGAAAAATAGCAATTTCATTAATTGACGTTTATTGTGAAACCTGTTATACTATGTTATGGATATTGTACTTCCGATGCTCTTATTTCATTTCCGTCAAGGATAAAAGCATGCAACGAATATGCACATTTTACTAATAAATTGATTGGGGGGGGGGGGGTGTAAAAATTCACAGGTACTTGGGTCTTGGTTTATAAATATGTTTGTAACTTATTGATATGTAAAAATGTACTTTACTTTTTTACCTATCAATAAGGTACATACATATTTATAAACCAAGAACCAAGTATCTGTGTAAAAATTAGCTTTTAACGCCCTATGAATAGGCTGGGTATTTGACACAAAAGACTAAGCTGCAATAATGTAGCCCTCTCCGATTTTTTTTTTTTTTTTTTTTGTTTTTTTGTTTTAGATCTGAAATTTTCTGGCCTCTCTCTCTCTCTCCCCCTCCCCCCCCCCTTCAAAAAAGGAGAGGGCTACATTATTGCAGCTATAAAAGATTGTATTCAGAAATGAACTGTGCATTGATTAAAGCGCAAAATTTTACATCTTTAATTGTATTTGAACAATACCTTATTCATTAATTTTCTCTTTTCATGTAAGCAAGTTTATTACGAAGTACAAATTGTACTTCGGGTTCGTTGCCACGATGCTCACAGTAAGGAATATATACAAATTTTACCGATAAATTAATTAGGAAAACCTACTATACATACATGTACATGTAATAGTCTTTCGATATATAATTATATTCACAAGTTATAGTGTTATCAGTGATTTACCATTATTTCAATTATGACCATTTACACAAAAGCTTTTTTTATGGTCATGCAGCTATAATCGCCTCGTTTTTTTTCTTAACATCGGGCTCGATGCCATATGATGTTCTAGAAGCTTCCGTCAATATAAAGATCGGTGAATGACGAAAATATTTTGCACATTTCCCTTTTTAATCGGTTATCACAACTTATTTCTTTTATATCATTTAAATCGAGTATTGATTGAATATTTCAGTGATGACGTTTTATGTAATAAATAAACGATTGCTTGTTGTCAGTTTCATTAAAAATTGCCAGTAACTTAGATCCGCCAACCGGAAACGCCACAGTACTCACTTTTTAGCTATTTCATGGCTGTTTATAGAAAATGAAAGTAGACTTTTAATTTAATGTAAGATACTTACTATGCGAGTGAAATCTAAATATAGTTTACGGACATCAGCTTGTATCTAGTGTATTGTTAGGGTAGTAAGTAAGAACTCTGGTGCACCCGTTTCGGAGTTTATTTGCAAAATTTATTAATTTATAAGTATAGATATTATAGGGAAGATTATCAAATCTCAAATATATTTTCAGGAAATGCGAATAAAAACACCAGCTATGCATATTCTAATTGAAAATTAATCACCAAATATAATTTAGGATAGAAAAATATAGGTATCCAGGTATTTCGAGAGAATTTACATCTTTTTTATGCTTATACAGTATTTTAGTTCTTTTTACTTCAATTGTCATTTAATACATAGTGTAAAAAGCTTGTGCTATCATTGCTAGACATCACATATCACATCTAATTTCATATCATGCTAATAAGCATTGGTATCTAATGCTAGACTAAAGGAAATTCGATTTCTCTAAAAATGAATTCATTTTTTTTTTTCTTTTACGGGTTACAAATGTAAACTTTTTACAAGACCATTTCTAAGACTTCAAAGAACCTTGAATCATATTAAGATGCATAAAATGAAAATTGTTGCACAAAAAGATCTCAGTTTCAAGCTTCATTTTGAAACTTTTTTAAATAAAATAATAAATTTAAGAGTTATCTTTCCTGGCTGAGGATCGGATATCCTAAAGTGACCCATTTCGTAAGGAATTATTGACCTTTGACCTCAAAATCAATAAGGGTATTTTTTGAGTCATACATATATTTAGGGGTTATGATATGAGATTTCATTGCAAAAGCTAAAGAACTTTCAGGATATCATTGGGAAACTTATTAAGTGTACCATTTCGTATATCATAAAATATGTATATTTTTGACCTATAACCTTTTGACCTCAAAATCAAGAGGCAACTTTCTTTAATTAAAGAGATATTACATTAAAGGTCATAGGAAACGATTCTTAACACTAGGATTTCACTTTTTAAACCTAAAGCTATATATGATAGAATGTTAAATTACGAGTAGTAATATTTTTTGGCCTTTGTTCTACTGAAAAACAAAGGTGAAAACTTTTCCACTTGTTACTTTTCTTACCCGCTTATCGTTCTTGATTTTGTGGTTTTATGACGTCACAAGAGCCCACTGATGTAAACAGAGCATTAGACTAATGTATTTCTACCATATTTTATCTAGTTAATTTAAGCTATTTTTGTAAATATAAATGTGTCTATGTTTTCGGGTGAGTTATCTGATTTCGTAGTTCAGTCAGTTCAGTTTGAGCGAGTCGTTTATAAGGCACGGCAACTCAAAACTGGAGCTTTTTATCGGAGGATGATCCTGATGAATATCCTATATAAAATTACGCTTAAATTAAGCTACAACTTCGATTACTTACTCCGCTTTAGAAACAAAAAAATATTTCACTGTTTAATACACATATACGACATACCAAGAGGATTTCATCGTCATTTTAAAAAGTTATTAAGTCTTTTTTATTCCAAGAAAAATCGCATAATGCAACATAGAATAGAGCAATTTATTAAAAGCGACCTTTTCTACTTAGAATAAAAATTAAGCCTATAATATTCTGTTAAAGAAAGATATATGACACGTATGTGGGGAATATCCCTAACGTGAATCCCCAAAATAAACACTGGAGCCATGCAGTGGTATTGAAGTCCATGATAAGCGCGAACCACTGAAATTGTCAGCGTTTTGAAGTTTCGTTTTCCCCGATCTGAAACACACATATTGCTGTTAAAACGATACAGCAGTAGAATCCCTGCGTTTATGACATGATCGTATTATTCTAATATATATATATATATATATATATATATATATATAGATAGATAGATAGATAGATAGATAGATAGATAAAGAAGAAATGTTGAGCCCAGAGCAAATGAAATTGTTACGATGCCGATACTTTGTGCAGTCACGGTTTGACTCGACAATATCGATTTTTGAAATACTCGGTATGAAGTAGTAAACAGTACAGTCCGTGATCAGTTTACAAATCCATCCATCATTTGCGAGACTACAATTTTAATATTAATGTTCTTTTCAACAGGTAATAAAACTTTTGAAATTATATCCTTTACAGAAAAAAATCCCCCGTAAATATAACATACATGTACACCGGAAATATAAATAGGTTTATATACGATGATAAGTACTGATCTTTGATAAATATTTTAACATATTGATGGGAAAGATACCTACCTTTTTTTGGTATTTTATGTATTAAATTTTACTAAATAAAAAAAAATGTCGATTTCTAATTCATTCAATATCTACATTTGGTAGAATCCTTATTCTTCATAGAAATATTTCCACATGTTAGAGCTGCCTTTTTTTTTTCTTTAATACATAGGTCTACATGTTTAAACGGCGTTTGTACTAACTCTCATATATACAAGTTTACGTTTAGTTTTTGCCAGAGTTGTTTTTAACCCATCTGCAGTGTGTTTAAAGATGACACAATTAAGAACTTTAAAGAACTTTCAATTACAAAAACAAAGAAATAACAAGGAGGAGGGGGGCGCCAGAGAACGGGTATTGGTGGTGATGTTGTACATTAAGTGAATTAAAGACTGTGTCAAATGATAAGAATTAATTAAATTGTATAAAACAGTAACACAAGAAATTTTTTTCTTGTTTTTTAAGCCATGTATGCTACACAGCAGGTACGTATCGTTTGTCAGGAAAAGTGTCATCATATACTGATACTGACACTAAAGTGTTGGACTCTGTGTGAAAGTAAAACTAGGTTGTAAATAAATGATTTCATTAAAACAACTGCCCTGGTTATGAAAAATGAATTTATTCTCATTCTCCCTCTCCCTTCTTTCTCTCTTCCGATCGCTTTATTTTTCTCTCAATAGATCGAAGTGTTAAACGATGAAAATGATCACATTTTGACTGATAAAACATGCAAACATCTTGCAAATATGCAATGGAATTTTTAAAAAGGAATACTGGCTTGTTTGAAGATCGTATATTTATACAAGGTTTTAGCCATGATTATGATATTCTTTAAAATTAAGCTGCAAAATGACATGATAGTTTGTAAACATTGCGTAGCTTTGAACAGCGACTGGGCCTTACTGACATCATATGCTAAGGGAGATAAGCAACGTTAGTCAA